AAATGTATGACAATTAGCATGTAATGAGTGTGGAGCAAAGAAAAAGACGGTCATGAATTCCCAACAGGATTCAAACCTATGACTTCTCATGCTGTAACATCAGACATGAGTAAGCTGTGTAGAGGTTCAATGAGTAGCCTGTTCACAGACCCTCTCTTCTCTCTTTAGAGATCCTCGCGTGTGCATATGAAAAAAGAAACCGCAGGGGATTTATTGACTTCTAGGGCAAGGGGGTGGGGAAAGAAGAAAGTCGATGTTTCTTTTTCTTTCACGTGCTCCACCCTCATTCTCATGTTCCAGGCTTGCACACTCGCCCATGCTTGCTCATCCATTTTTGAAAACAACATCTGCATACGTACAGGCTACTCGTGGAGAGTTAGGCCATATATAGCTGAATCAAAAAACCTTGCTTTGGCCATTGGGAAGTGGAAATTGAGCATTTGGGAATACAGAGCTTACTGCATTGATTTGCTTGAATGCCCACCAAACAATAGCTTACCAGTGTGCAATTCCCAATGCCCTAAACAACCTTAATTGAATCAGCAACATGCACGACGTGCGTCCTGCATGTTGCTAGAATTAGCAATGTTGAGAGCGTGCTGTTTGGAATGAGGGAAGATCTTGAAGGCAATTCATTGGAGGAGTGTCTCATGGGATATGCTTGTAACAGGGACATCAATCTATTGTTTTATTTTGATTTGATTTGTTTTCAGCTGGTGAGAGAACACTTTACAGTGAAAGAAATCCCAGAAGAACACCAAGACCCAGTCTACCACAGCCCAGATATACACTTACTGAGATTGACAAAAAAAGATGTCAAGCTTTGACAGCAAAAAAAAATGACCTATCCCCTTCTTGTTGGTGAGACTACAGCTATGGTGTGGAACGCTACTGGTCATCAGTGGAATCCACTGGAAAAGATCATATGCAGTCTGTGTTTGAGAAAGGAGTTCCAGCGTCGATTTTGGTGTGGACTTTGACTTTATCGGTGAACAGGGCGTGGTTATAAGTACGCTCAGGGTATTTCTGCTCCATTAAGGCTATGATCATGCTATACCGAATAGGTCTTACGCCGGCATGCACAAAATCCATACTGCTGCTTCGGTTCCATTGGCGGATCCTGGGGAGGAGCGTCGCGTGACAACACTAACGGCGGTTGTGTAGCAGACTGGTGCAGCACACGTTTTGTTCATTTCGTTCCGTTTCTTACTGTACGATCACAACGTGAAACTTCCTCATGCGACGTGAACACACAGCGACTGATGTTTATTTCTCTCTTTACACTTGGGTGTGGTCCCAAGAAATCAACTTGATGGGAAATTGGCTTACATTTGACATTTAAAGCGAGTTGGAATACCTTGAATGGGACAATGTTTAAGAGAAAACGAATTCATTTTATAGAGACGTTATCGCTGCCATCACTCTCGCTGTTGCTACAGCATGCTAGTTTTCAAGGTCCATGGAGCGTTTTATACAGCATGATATAGGGAGAATGAAAAAGTTCTGGGTGCAAATCCTAGGTGGGATATTTGTTGTTATTGATAAACGCTATGGCCTACACACACGGAAATAAAAAGAATGAAGATGATTTTATTGAGATTGCGTTAGGCTACATTACATTACATGCATCGGGTGGTCTTAAAGACTATCAATAATTTGAACCTTGGCCGCGTGAGCAACGGCTCTATTACAAAAAGTTGATAAATTCCTTAAGACCTCGTTTACATGGAGAAATCCTGTCCCGGGTAGATTGGTCAGCATCCCAGCCGATTCAACTTTAGTGAGTGTTTATATGAAAAATTTTACTCCTTTGTTCGTGCCACAACGCTTGCGCATGTTCTGAATAGGGATTTCAAGATTCAGCGACGCGTCGAGAAGCGGACGGCAACGAGGACGTAAAAAAAAAAGAAAAAAAAAGGTTTAATAAGCAAAACAACAACTTCGCACGTGCATCACACTTTTTTGTACATTCCTTTCCCCTTTTTTCACGACCACGACGTGAAAATGCCTAATTTCGCGTTTTCTGCAGGACGTAAACGTCAAGCAACGACGAAATTTTATTTCTCGTTCTGAGCTTGGATATGTTCCTTTGAAATTCAGCTTCAGGAGGGTTCGCCGACATTTGACAAAGTAAGTGGGTTGGAATAATCGCTATAAAAACTGAAAGAACGCAAATTCACTTTTAAAGCGACGTTCTCGTTGCCGCCGCGTCGTTGGATCTTAAAGTCCCTATTGTCTTGACTTGGCCGGGCCAAAGTGTTTACGTGGAGAAACGTTGGCCCAGTCAGGAGGGTGACTCANATTACATGCATCGGGTGGTCATAAAGACTATCAATAATTTGAACCTTGGCCGCGTGAGCAACGGCTCTATTACAAAAAGTTGATAAATTCCTTAAGACCTCGTTTACATGGAGAAATCCTGTCCCGGGTAGATTGGTCAGCATCCCAGCCGATTCAACTTTAGAGAGTGTTTATAAGAAAAATTTTACCCCTTTGTTCGCGCCAATAGCGCTTGCGCATGTTCTGAATAGGAACTTCAAGATCCAGCGACGCGTCGAGAAGCGGACGGCAACGAGAACGTAAAAAAAAAGGAAAAAAAAAACGGTTTGATAAGCAAAACAACAACTTCGCACGTGTATCACACTTTTTTGTACATTCCTTTCCCGTTTTTTCACGACCACGACGTGAAAATGCCAAGATTCGCGTTTTGTGCAGGACGTAAACGTCAAGCAACGACGAAATTTTATTTCTCGTTCTGAGCTTGGATATGGTTCTCTGAAATTCAGCTTCAGGAGGGTTCGCCTACATTTGACAAAGTAAGTGGGTAGGAATAATCGCCACCGTTGCCGTCGCCTCGTTAGATCGTAAAGTCCCTATTGTCTTGACTTGGCCGGGCCGAAGTGTTTATGTGGAGAAACGTTTGCCCAGTCACGAGGGTGACTCTACCATCACAAAAAAGATGACCCAGCTAGAAGAGTCGCTCTTCTAGCCAAACCAACTTTTCGTTTCTCATTTAAACGGTTCGCCTCGTTTTGTAAGAAAATGTAGAAAAAGTTGGCTCGCCGCTCGCCCAGGAGAGCTCGCCGGGGTAGGCGAGTGAGCCTTATCCCCGGCACGACTTTTCTCCATATAAACAAGGCCTTAGCTGCGCAAGCCGCTTGTAGTGATAACCGCTGACAATATTTTTTTATAGAACAGGTAGCCCCGCTCAGTTTTCATTGTGCTTGTGTCTTGCTAGACTACCAGCAGTCTCTCTTTTTTCTGTAGTCCGTCGAGCAAGACGGCGCGTGACTGATGGCGTGAGACGGGAGAGCACTTTTTTCTTCTCGGGCGGCCGCCCTCGTTTTGCGCGTCTCGCGGCTTCGCCGCTCCCGCGCGCGTGCATTGCTCTCACTAAATCTGAAGAAAAAGAGAGACTGCTCGCAGTCTAGTGTCTTGCCAGCTTATGACACAACTGCCAGATAACAAAATTAATAAATTTTTCTAATAGAAAATTCTGTACAGGATGAGTGGTCAAAGCTCATCGCCATGTTGGTGAGTGAAAGACGACTCCACATCAACGTTCTGGCACGCAGCAGGAGTTTTGAATTCCATGAGATATTCACATCTGCTAGGTTCCGTTACTTGCACCAATTCATTTGCCGAGCCACATCGAAGGTTTACCTACACAAGTAACACGAAGCAGAGGTTTAATACAGTTTCTGGTTGGCAATGTAATTTTTTCGTTAGATCTACGCACCCTAATGTGTACAAAGAAGAAACAAGGGGATGAGACACAACCGTGGAAGTTACACTGAAGGCAATTGAGTATAGTCAGGTCGCGTTCACACTTTGTTACCGGGCATGGTGCCTGGGAACGTATTTGCTGGGCACTAATGTGAACACTCGCTTTTTTGAAGTACCCACGCTATAATTCGGGCACGGTGCCGATGCGTGAGTACAAGGTCCTCAGACACGAACATGAGCGCCAGCGGCTAATTTCTCAAAAGACCCGGAAACTTTTCGGGCCCGAAGGCAAATTTCAAAAGCAAAACCTCTTGAATAGTACCACAGTTCCTAGCCCACAAACCAATCAAAATTGCTTCGTTTACTGATACTTTTATTGTTCTATTTTCAAAGTTATTGAAACTTTGATCTTGAATGCAAACACAACAAACACAAAACAGCTTTCGGGGCCCCAAAAGTTATCGGGACTTTCGAGAAACAGTCGCAAGGTCCCTGTGTGTGCATCGTTTTCGTTCTGTAGCAGTCCACTGCTTTGTACTCGCTGCTAAGCTCTTGTTTAAAATGGAGTCCGACAGGGTGAAATGGAGTAACTATGTACACGGTTACATGTCGCGGGTACTCGCTCAATGTGTGAACACAACACCATCTTTTTCTGACTTACCACAGCTGACCTACTAGGTCCATTCCAGCAGCTCTGTCCTCCTGAATACTTCATTTGACTGTACTTGTTGGGGTCTCCTGTCCATTCACCCCAAGTTCTACAAGAAATTTGTTTACAAGAAATTCTTTAATGATGGGAATCGCACCAAAGAACCGAAGAATCTTTCACATGACTCATGAATAAAGTTTAGCGAGCTTCTTCCTTGGCCTTTTTTATTTTTCCTGTCGACTCCCGATAATTCGAACCCTCAAGGAAAAGAGAAAATAGTTAGAGTTACCGAGGGTGAAATTATGAAGAATGCGATCTGACGGGAAATGTAAATTGCTTCGAGTTAGTGGTAGGTTCGAGTTATAAGAGAGATTATAGAGAGATTAAGATTCACGTTTACGGCATACGGCAAACGGCAAACGTCAGTTGAAAATTTCTCAGAATAGAAAATAAGCAGATAAAAACAGTCCAGAACGATTCTTGTGGACAAAACTGTCATAAAACTACTTATTTTTGTGTAGAAGCAATAAACAGTAAACGAAAAACAAGGGGAAAACTTGGTCACGTGGTACAAATTCACGTTTGCCGTTTGGCGTAAACGTGAATCTTAATCTCTCTTAAGATTCACATTTACCGCAAACGGCAAACGTCAGACTCACGTTGAGAATTTCTCAGAATAGAAAATAAGAAGATAAAAACAGTCCCGAACGATTCCTATGGTTAAAACTGGCATAAAACTACTTATTTTTGTGTAGAAGCAATAAAGAGTAAACGGAAAATAAGAGGAAAACTTGGTCACGTGGTACAAATTCACGTCCGCCGTTTGGCGTAAACGTGAATCTTAATCTATCTATAGAGGGTTCGAGTTACCGGGATTCGACTGTATTTATTTATGTTTTTCTCAAAAGTTGAGAAGCTAGATAAAACACTTGGCAATAACGGATGAAAAACTGTTTCTCCAGTTTGACGTGACATGAAAGGCTATCCGCTATAGTTTTAACAAAGCCCAAAGTAGGTGACGGGGCTATTGCAGCATAATTCGATCGCTTGGTCTATCAACCTTGCCTGTCTATTAAAGGAAGGAAATGCCTGTCTTATAAATAAAGGAAAGATATAATAAGAAAACGAAATTCGACAAAATGCTCACCCCAGAGATGTTTCTGAGCCTCCGTCCTTTGGTTGTTGAGAAGCTTTGTCAAATGGGCAAACTTTGTATAGATACCTGAAAATCGAGAGAAAAGGAAACTTCAGTTGTCTTGACGCGCCTGCGAATTCAAATGCAAGATTGTAAGACAGTCTCCGGTATATTTTAGGCGTCGCCGAGAAAATGACTGGTGTGTGGTTAACTACGCTATAACATGTCACTCCATGCTACTCCGTGACGCGCCTCAATACATGTACTCCATCCTGCTTGTGCATCTTGTTTTAGTTGTAACACAAGTGAATACTTACTCCCTGTCAGTGTATTCGAAGCACTGGCCTTGAAGTGGCGAAAATTCTTCTTCTTGACCCAGATTCAAGTTCAAGACACGTTCAAGATCACTAAAAAGAGGAGAACCAAACACAGTTATACTGCTTGAAAGAGCAACACAGCTTTTATCCAACCGGGAAGGGAGCTTAAGCAATGACGACGCCCCCTCTGTCATCCCCCACTCAACTATCACTTGCCTTTCTCATTCTCATCATTTTTAGAGTAGATTACCCCCAACACAACCTTTTTAAAATATACATTTTGTCATATGTCTTTTTCATGGACTTTTAAATGTGTAGCTTGCCCTTGTCGACCACAACATTTACTACACCCTTGTCATCAGTTCCTCAAAGAATCCTTTCTTTAATTATAATAATAATAAATTTCCTTAATTCCCTCTACGGGCGTTATGAAGCAAATCTTTCCCTTTGGACCTATCGCTCTTGTTGTAGTCATGTAGTACAAGATAACATGATTTAAAAAGGTTGATAGCCTGTCTTCTCACACAGCCTGTTTTTGGATCATACTACATAAATCGCATACATTTGTGGTTGTTCGGCTGTTTGCATAAACAGTTAACCCTCTAAGTCCCAATAGTGACCAACATCAATTTTCTCCTAAATATATCCAAACAATGTCAAGAGATTAGGTTATGAGAATTAATAAAATGATCACCTAAGAGAAAATGCTTTGATCTTTTATCAAATTCTCTCAACTCATTCTTTAAGGAAATGTATAGAGATCAGTTTGGAGAATTTGTATGTGGATATTGGGGCATAGACAGATAAACAGACCTGATTTCCTTTTCTGTGTCTCGAGTAGCTGACTCTGCGTCATTAAATTCTTTCCTGGCCTGATCAGCAGCTGTAGCAAATATTAAAACAATTGTTAGTACAACTCCTCAACTCCACAGCTCGTCAATGATGAGCAAATAAAATGTACCGGTAATTTTGGCTTGTGTCTCTTCATCGTATTCAGGCATCTTTAAATCATCACCTTCTTTGTTCTCTGTAAGTGAAATGCCACAGCAAAGTCAGTCAGGTTTACTTAACCAGCGTTAACTTGAAAAGAAAAAAAATTAAAGCTTGATAATAATACTGATTATGCTCTTTCAGTTCACGTTCAAAAGGAAATGACTGAAGTGAGGGGTGCGGTCTTAGAATAAAATATTGTGCAAGAAAAAGGAAAATTAATTCACAAATGAGTAAGACATAAATTCCATGATCGCTTGATAATGTAAAGCTCTAAAGCTACTCATTTTTTCAAAGCTATTCAAGTCTGGTTTAACAATAATACTACTTTATTTACTCTATTTAAATGCCACCCTCAATGAAAGCAAAACTACCAATAAACACCAATCTCGAATAAACTACCCACCCAATCAAAAAAATATGCGTTTATTCGAGGATTTTAAGAAAACTTGGTACATCTTTGTAATCTACGCCTACCACACAATTACGATTCAACCTCAGCAAAAGACACCTTTCTGTCTTACATAATAGTTTCCATGTACATACGCCCCTCCAAATATAGCCCGTCAAACTCGTAACACAAAAAGCCCTCCGTTAAATTCGCCACTCCAAATCTAAGCCTCCCTGGGGGCTCATACTTGGAAATTGCCCTCAAAAACAAAGTAAAACAAAGCAAAAACGGTAAATTTCCTTGCAACCATGGGGCTAGCCGAATCGATTTTGGAACGCAAATTTTCCGCCATAGGTAAGCCCCTCCGAATATAAGCCCCTCCAAAAATAAGCTCCCCAAAAAGGGCCTTTGAAAACTATAAGCCCTGGGGCTTTTTTTGGGTAGTTTAGAGAGTTCTACTTGATTTATGAACCCACTCTCTTTGGAGCTTTCTGCAGCTCTTTTCTCAGCTTCCTGTTTAAGTTCATCAGGAATCTCCTTCCCATCATCACCATCTTCATCCTCCTCTTCCTCTTCATCATCATCATCGCCAGGAACATCTGGCAAATCTTCATCTTCATCAAGGTTGTCGTCAATTGGAGGGGGGGAGGGTGGGTCCTCAGGCTCAGCAGCTGCAGCTTAAGGTTCATAACATATAAATAAATTTATTATACATTTAACTCACTATCTGTCTTCTCATTGGCTAAGAGCCTAAAGCTAATTTTGGAAATCAGCGCAACCTACAGATTAGTTAGTTATCTGCTAGAAGATAATTGACTAATCTGTAGGCTGTGCATGCAATGTTTGATTTCCAATAACAATATCAATTCAGGTTCCTTGCAACGGTGTGTCACGCTATTTGTTAACTTTCTTAAAAAAATATAAAACGTGTCTTTGCTTCCACAGAAATCCAGATTTAACAGTCCAGTTTAATTCTTTAACACCATTATTTAGGCACTAAAACTGTTTCCTCTCGTCGGTTGAAATGGATGGCGAAAATGGATATAGATCAAACCTTGAAAAAGTTGGCCCAACATTTTCAAGTTTCAATGCTATTGTCTGCAAAAATTGCCAGAAAAATTATGCTTTGTGCTCCCTGATAAAATTTGTCAGATATCTTCATTACTGTACAGGAGCATTTTGTATTTGGGTACATTTTGTAAAGGCACTAAGTAATAACTTCAGCAGAGAATTAGCCTTAACCCTTTAAGCCCCGGTATCCACATACAAATTCTCCAAACTGATCTTCATACATTTCCTTAAAGAATTAGTTGTGAGAATTTGATAAAAGATCAAGGCATTTTCTCTTGGGTGATCATTTTATTAATTCTCATAACCTAATCTCTTGACAGTGTATGGATATTGTTAAGAGAAAATTGATCTTGGTCACTATTAGGACTTAAAGGGTTAAACAGCAATACCCTTGTGAAATAACCCCTTTAAACAACTGAGGAGAAAGTGCTACCCTTTGAAATTTGCAAACAGTTAGACTTTCTAGCCTTCCTGATTAAGTTATGAGCAAAATTTTAAACTTGAAAAACCCATAGGCGTGCGGTGGCAATATACAGAATTATTATGAAACATTATAAGAGCTTCATCTAGTCAGATCTAATATCACATATATTCAACCACATTTTTTTTTCTGCTAAATATTAACACACCATCTGTTGGCTTTTCTCCCGCTTTCTCAGATTCTTCAGATGTTGGTGGTTCTGTCTGGGATAATAGAATGATATTTATTAGTAGGAGTTTAGATTAACTTACATATGACTTTATAACACTCATAAATTAAGAATACACTGAAACTCAACAATGGACTAAATACAAGAAGATCCAAAGGAAATTAACATTTGATGAATCTGCATCTGGTGGAGACATGGCTTATATCTCCATTAATTGTCTTGGCCAAAATCAAGCCAAATCAAAATACTACTGCAAGACTGAACAGGGTGCAAAGAAAGTCAATATCACAGCCTGCCATACAGGCAGGCTGTAGCGACCATGTACTTGCCCATGAGTTATTTAAATTAGCCTGAAATACTTTTAGGATGAGCAGGATTGAATACAGTTCTTCTGTAATTTGAGTTGCCTAGAAAACTTTGCTTGCCCATTGGGCAAGTTAAGAACAGAATTCGCTATCCCTACAGCAAAATCTGCTTGCCCTGGGCTATCGGGCAAGACCCTCGATCTTTACACACTGCTGACTAGATCCACATAACAGGAAGTTGAAGGCATTCCATTAACTAACAGTTTGTTTTTTATATCTAGTCTAAAACATGAGGCACTCTTAAAAAGACAAGACTGCTTGTTCATTAACTACACATAAACCCTTGCTTTTTTCAAGTCAACTTTATGGCCATCCCAGCCCTATACATGTACACAAGGCCACCTCAGTAATACGGTCACCTTGTTATTACAGCGCCCTTTTTTGACCTCCTGGCAAAACGGCCAAACATTTTCATGTAAAAAAACCCTTTTTAATACGGTTATCTGTTAATGCGGTCAAATTTTTTTGGCCCATTGGTGACTATATTAACGGGGTTCCACTGTATTTGGGTCTACTAACACAACTTGAAAATCTTGTCACTGATAAGTAAAGTGCTGGTGCTGTCAACCACACTGTAACAAATAAAAATCTCCTCCAATGGCTTCAAAAGAGAATAGTCAAACAAAATTTAATCATTTTACCTGTTTATGAAGGTATTTCCCTTTGAATGTGCTCCAAAGTGCGGTGAAAAAGCTTTCAAAGTCTGACTCCTCATAACCTCCAAGAAGTTCCTGGAAAAAATAATTTCAATCATTGCAGATCTTATCCATTACTGTCATCACTATTATTATTTTTTCCATATTTTACTTTATTATATGGCTACAGTAGTACATGCATGCGCACTGATTGGCTGTTTCATTGTAATGACCGGGCATTACTAGCTAGGTGTCCAAAGCATATACAATCTGTGTTTGAACTTGATAGAGGACATTCTTATGAACATCCATGTTATGGTCAATTGACAGCTGTCAAAAAGGGTATCTGCTGACCAGTATCACCTGACTGTATTGTGGGCTCAACTGTACAACTCATTGAGGTGACGTGTTTTTTTTAAAGTTATCTGCTGACCAGTTGTTGGTTTTAATTGATTGCAGGCTCAGGTCCATAATAAGAAGGCCATAAAAATAATAAATAACTTATTAACCTGGTCCATTCGGTCCTTACAGGGAAATCTCAGACCTCACCCTTGATGTATTGACCAAGCGATACATCAAGGCCTCAGTCTGAGATTTCCCGGTAATGACCTCACTCTTGGTTAATGAGTAGTATACAACATTGTAATAACATAATCATTATTATTTTTAATATTACTATTAATAATTGCTACTACAATGATTATAACCTTATTATTATCATCATGATCATCATTATTTCATTATTATTACTATTTAGGAGGCTTGATTTAGCCGAGATGCTGTAGTAATACTGTGTATGTTTTGTATTAATTAAAAGTAAAGATTTGAGAGTATAAAATGGCAAAATATTACAGGCACTCACTCTAGCCTCATCTTCAGTGTATTTCTTATCCATGAGTTCAGTATCAACAACTTCTTGGACTGTGAGTCTGTAGTGAAGACATAGTACATATTGTATTTATATTGAAAAACTGCAAAAAAATGAAAATGTTTTCATAATAAACCCAGCAGTAGAGCTATAATGGTAAAATAAATTCACCCTTTCCGTGAATTCTTCAAAAATAATAAATAAAGAAATACTAACATATTTTATGGAAGAAAACTGTTTTTTTTTACCAGCCTTGAAAACACCAGAGAAAGTACAAAAAATGTGCAACATATTCACCTTCCATCAGCATTAGTATCAAGAGCTTTAAAAGCAGCCTCTGCAGATGCTCTGTCTCTTTCAGCCAATATCTTGACCTTGGTTTCTAAATAAAAAAATTATGAGAACAGAACTCATTAAGCATATCAACTGAAGGATAACTAGATCCATGCAAAATCCTTTCCACATGGCAAGCTACAGAACCAAGTTAGGATGGGTGCCCTGTGCACCATTTATTATGAATGAACCACAGGACAACCAAACAATTCAGAATAAATTTCATGTTTGAGAAGACACAGAAAGATTTCGGAACGTGACAAAAAGTCCCCTCCCTACCCACCCTCTGGTTTTGCCACAACGCCATTGGTTACGCAGCCCCCCACCCAATCTTAGACCTGTCAATGGACTATCTTCCAATGCTGGCCTTATTGTTGTTGTATTGTAAGTGAATAAGTGTGAATAAATGAACTTGAAATTGAATTTAAAAAAAACCTACAAATATTTGCCACAAAGATGTCCGAGCCAAGCCTAATGGCTTCATGTTGTTAAGACCCTAAAAGCACAATAAAGATTCTAACCTTCCCATGCTTTTTCATGTTTGTCCTTGGCTTCCTTTTCAGTTGCCTCAACTTCCTCTTTTTTCCCTGAGTATACAGTTAAGGAAAACAATAATATGTAAATATGTACAAGACAAAATGTTATTGTGAGGGTCTGGTAGATTAACAATTTAATTTCCTAGCTTAAACTCCTGATTTCCACCTGTGTACCAGAGCCATTGCTTATAAAGGAGACTCACTAGGTAAGTTGTACTGAAGATGCTTCTTAAGCATAGATGCTTGTAACATTATTAATAGTACCTTTCAGTTCTTCAACCAAAGCTTTCTTATCTTCCAACTGTTTCTTAAGCTCCTCGAGCTTTTGCTAAAAGGAATTTTAAAACAGGAATGATTTTTCTACAAAATTAATCTAGATTATAAATGAAAGCAAAAAGGTACATGACAAGCCTAATTAATACGCAATAAGAAAATTAAAAAGTGATCACTACAGAAAGTCATGCACTGTCCAATTTAACAGCATAACAAAGTTCTTTAGCACCAGATAATTATTAGCTCCAAACATTCAGCTCTGGGGTGACATTTAGGTAGTACTGTACCAAGTCCTCGAAGAATTTATGGGGCAATGACTTCTTTGGCTCTTGGGGAACTGATAATATGAACCATGGTTAATAGTTACCCTCGGCCATCTCCCAAAATAACTAGATGTAAAACCAAAAAACACATACCTTTCTCTCTTCTTTCGTCTCTTGACCCTGTCTGCTGTAGTCTTGTTTTACAGCGAGACCCTTGAATCAAGAAAATCATGGATACCAGCTTCACAGTCTTATACATTTGCGCATATTAGCCCTATCTTTACCATTAAAGTTTCCACACATCAATTTCCCAGTTCTTGTAGCTTTGTAATATTATTAATTTGTACATTTATCTTTTTACAACCAGTAGACATGAGCAGTATGAGATGTCACTTAGATAGAAGCAAAAAAAAAAAAAAATGAGCTGATTACTTCCTCTCATTGCATCTCTGATCTAACCCTACTGTAGCTCTTACCCCCAACTCTAACCCTTAAGCCTTACAAACTCTTAGATTAGGGGTCGTGGATTTAAAGGGTTATCCAAATGTACATATAGCCCTGAGCTACATCGTAATTGCAAAGACCATGGAAACAAGTTAACTGAAAAATTATTTAAAACTGCAAAGTTGGGTGAGAAGGTTTAGGTACCTGCTTTGCTAGTTCAGCTTCTTCTTTCTGTTTTTGATAAAGTTCTTTATAAAGTTCCCTGAAATAAATTTATGAAGCAAGGTTGTTAATCAGGTTGAATGGAATTAATTTTTATTCACCAGCGACAAGCCTGTTCTTATGATATCATAACTGCATGCTGTAACTACTTTCTATGTTTTTCAATTCATGTAAAGTTAACAAAAAATGAGAGTAGTGTTAAAAAAAAATTTCTTATACAGATTGCATTTTCTCAATTAGAGTAATAACGAGAATATAACAGAAAATTAAGTTATCTTGTTGCCAAGCAAACTTTCACTTAAGGCAATCACATGTGCCCAAAATGACTTGGTGAAAGGCCTTTTACTCTCCTTTCTCTCTTTTTGGCCAGAGTAAACAAATCATCTCTGACAAACTGTGACATTCACAGAGAAAGGTCACAAGATGTATTGTTACCAACAAGAGAATGCCTAATTTGCAAATAAGAAAATTAATATTACTGGCAGAATTTTACTATAAAAATTGATTGGTTATTTTGCTTACTAGACTTAGAGATTCTTATACGTGTAATTTTTCATATCTTACTTGCAGGTATTTGGACAACTGACTGATCCATCGTATTCATCACTGCCATCACAGCAATCTGAATGTTATAAATATAATATATATTATCTAGCCAAGGCTAAAGGCGAAGTTCCAGTTAATAAATAGACATTCACTTAAACCTGAGCCTGTGATCAGTCAAAAACTCAAAACTTGTCAGCAGAGAACTTCAAAAAAACACATAACCTAGATGGGTCAATATGTGAGCCTGCAATATGGTCATGTGATACTGATCAGCGGATACCCTGTTTTGACAGTTGTCAATTAACCACAATATGGATGTACAATGTCGGGTTTCAGGCTCCCACACTAGCTAAAAGGTTGACATTTAATGTTGGTCCCCCCGCGGTGAGGACAGACGGGTGGTTGGGCGGACAGACAGTCATGTGATTACCAAAATTTCTTGGATGGATACATGACCACATTTCTTAGGTATAGGGCTCTGCTTGTGTGCGATTGGGGTGTGCATGGAGCTCCACTTTTGTTAATATTAATATTTTAATAGCCACAAATACATGCACCATATAATAATTATTACAAAAGTAAAATATCACTCAATGTACATGTAAATAAATTCCTGACATACCACATAAGCCATCATTTACTCTTGATGAAGGAATGTTCAATGGTCTAAATCCAGCATTTGTACAGTGAAATATTCCATTGGAGCAAGCTGAAGTTCCTAAAGGATCGAGTTTAGAATTTTAGTCATAATCTTGCATCGAAAGGTTTCAATGATTTAGTCAATGCTTATCTCTCCCACCCTTAGTACAGGAGTAATGATAAAGGGGTTTTGGGGGGTTAGCCTGGGAACAGGCTCCACAGTGGGGAAAAGCCAGTGATTTTGTTAACTCTGCATCCTTTGTCCCTGACGCTTAAAAATTCCCCAAAATGCTAAACAATTCATGGTATGCATCCTGTAGGACACAAGATTGATCATCAATCTGAACATGTGTATTTGTAGAGATATTCGGACCATTTGTGTATTTCTGTGGCAGTTATTGTGGCTGTTGTTGAACAATACATATTCTTTTAGCCTTTGTTGTGCATTAAAATAAAAAGACTATATTTTAATTTCAGTATATTGTAATACAGAGTTTTAGAGTCTGTCTTCAGATTGACTGTCTGGTTACATAATGGCCCAAGAATTTTTAACTGGGACTCATGATGTTTCACGAGATGGGTCCCAGGAATCACCATAACAATTTGTAACAAAATCACTGAAAACCCAAATAACAGTTTATTGACGTTACACCATTTGGCAAAAAATGAAGACGGCTACCATACCTGGTTCATCAGAACCATCAGCACAATCACAATAATCATCATTTACAGAATTAAAAGGAACTGTTAGTGAGCCATCAAAGCAAGTGAAGTCTTTTGAGCTATCATAAAATGGTAACCCTAAAAGGCAAAAACAAAAAATATGCATGAAGCACATAATCATTGCAAATGGTAATGATTGGTTTGCCAGCTGAACCCATAGAAACTTAGTGTTTCATTAAACAATAAGACTAACTCTTATCCTGCATTGTTCAGGCTTTACATTTTTTGAAAGTGCAATTAAAACTTGCCCTTAATGAAAAAATCACTTTTAAAATCACACTGCATGCAAGTTTAAAGGGTTAAACATGGAATGCAAATTAAGTTGCATCCAGGTTTACCCTTTTTGCTGGGTTTTAATTATTATACAGACAAGTTCTTACACCGATTCAAGGGATAATTATGACATAGCTTCCTCACAGTAATCCAAGGCTAAATTATATCATTATTACCGAAAACAAAATACAACAATACTCTGCAGGATCGATCAAGTCCTGGAAATTTTTTAACCACTATGAACCAGATTTGCAGGCGCAGATCGCCTCTGTAAACGTTTAGATTTAGTAGAAAATACTTACTAGTTAGGGCAACCCCTCTTATACTTGAGGCTGATGTCGTATATAAGCTAAACAAACCAAGACAGAGGAAAAATAAAGAAAAAATTTGTATTCGAAAAAGAAATTGACATGCCGCCATGTTGGATACACGTGTCGTCAATGGAGGAGTCTGAGGTGAGCCTCGTTTGCATGAACTGAAACACACTGGAAACGAACAAAGTTGATTTTCCCGCCAACAGACCGCTGAGAAAAAAATAGCCGTCTCGTGTTCTCAAGTTCCCGTCTTTGGTCTGATGGCTACCAAACAGTGTCGTCGTGTTGAGTTCCTCACCCGAAAATGAAAACTTACTACACGCACAAGATGACTTGCTTCAAGCGGTTGTATTAGCATGCAATGGAAACTCTAGGAAATCTCTCACGAGATGCAGAAAGGTATTAAAGGTCGCTTGCTTGTAATTTTGACCTAGAAGACGTGAGAAATGCGTGGCTAGCTGAAGCCGTTTTCGTCATGTCTCAAAAAGTGAATTGAACATACAGTACACCACGTTTTTCTTCTTCTCCGGTGGTTTCCTTTTGTGGCTATCACAACGACCCTTGTCTCCAAAAAAACACTCTTATGAACTAGATTGCCCCAAACGAATATTTTTATATACACTTGAGCTCATGTCTGTTCCTTGTTGATCTTTAAACCCTGCTAATAATGTAGATGCGATGACAATATGTATTGTACTTGACAAGAATTATATGCCGCTAAGATCTGAATTTAAGTTACATTAAGTCAAATTATTGTAAATCAAAACTTTTCTTGTGAAAGTGAAAGAAGTAGCTTCATATGTGTACCTTGCATATTTTAGACTTAATTTGCTCACCTAATAGATAGAAAATCCGTGCATTGCAGTTAGATAATTAAACATTTCCCCTTGAATTCAGTTTCAGTGCATTTCCACGTTATTTCCGCTTACGGAAATGCACTTAATTCTAGCTACGTTTTAGTTTTTAATTTAGCTACTTTCTCTCATTAGAAGATATACTCTAAAAGCCAAGTTCTCCATTTTTTCTAGAATCTGTCGCATGCAAATGAGGAAATACCACTTAATTCTTATCGACATCATAGTTTTCCACTTTGTACCCTCTTTATGCAGTTTAATTAAGGGGGAAACATGTGTGAAAAATAATCCCTTACTAGAGTCAGTAAGGCCTGTATACACAAGTGGGCAAGTTGCGGACAAAATTAATTTTAAGCAAAATGTTGTGACAATAGAATTGTGTCCTTGTCAGAGAATTTTGTTTCTTTTTTAAGAGTGATAGTGTCAGTGAAGGGGACCTGTGATTGCCCCAGTAACCTGTCTTCACTCTGTGTACTTAATTGCAACATGAACTTTGTTGTTTCAGGTGTTAAATTAAGCCTTGAAAACTTGTCATGGCAGTGAATACAAACCAGTGTATAACAGCCCTGTATATAGCGGTCATCCTGTATATTACGGTCAAAGCAACTTCCCAAAATTTTCAGTTGCCTTATATTTTCTGCAAAGTTTACCTGTATATAGCGGTCACCCTGTATATAACAGTCACCTTGTCACAGGGTGCAAAGAAAATCATTTTTAGAGCTTGCCATTCAGGCAAGCTGAAGCTAGCACTTACTAGCCCAGACGTCATTTCAAATAGCCCCAAAAACTTTTTGTTCTTCTGTTATTCAAATTCCTCATAAAACATCACTTGCCCATCGGGCAAGTTGAAAACAGAATTCACTAGCCAGATAGCAAAATCCACTAGCCCCGGGCTATCGGACAGTACTTTCTTTGCACGCTGTTGTCATTTCTTAAGGGTGGTTGTTGTACACGGGTTTGACTGTAATTTACTCTCTCTTTGTGAAACGAGTGCAAAAACGTCATGCAGGGCTGTCACTAAGGTGCTAGATGCCTGGGAATTTCCCCTGGCTATTCTGAGCATAACTCACGGATGCTCTCATGGGACACAAAAGGAGACTGAACCAACAGAACTTTCTTGCTGTTCAACTACCACCTTCTAATTGCATATGAAATGTACCCTTCAACTTAAAATGGTAGTGACAGCCCTGCAGATGTATAAAAGAACTGATTACCACAGAAAAGCTCAGAGGGTTTATTTTTTAACAGTGTGATGCTGCTTCTTTGTAGTGAAAGAGCAGCAAAGTTTTACGAACAAGCTCTCCTGTTGGTTGATTGTTGTAGGATCCCAGAGGCCATTAGATTGTTGGAACAGGTTTGTGAAATTCCTGTAGTTCTTATGAAAAATTAATATAAAATATTGAGGGTAAGGTACATTGTACCAAAAACGAAATAAGCTTGCCTGTGGTAATTCAGGCTGATTTGCGTTCTCTTACATACACTGTATCATTTACTCAAAATAATTTTTTATTGGACTTCATGTTCTTGAATCCATATGCTGTAGTCATTTCCATCAATTTTTTCTTTAGGGGCTACATGCACCCATGTTTGGGTTAAAGGGCTTATCATGATCTGTGAGCTGTTATTTACAGCTAAATTCCCAAAGGGGAAGGATTTTAGCCATCAGCATCCTCACTCTCCCCTCTCTTTTGCTAACAAATTTCAGGAATGTGAGTTTGCTTCTGTGTCCATGGGCTTTATCTGATCGTCTAACCATAATTTATTTTTCAGGCCATTAGAATCAGTCCTGATTCTGAAATCTACAAAGAATCCCTGGCTATTCTTCAAATGAGCTATTTTCCCTCAGAACAACAGGATGTTAGTTATGCCAGTGTCACTAGACCAAAGCTGGCCGAGGATGATGGACAAGATTATATCTCCTCATATGAGTGGAAGACAGAGACACGAAAGACCAAAGATAATCCAAATAAGACTTCTTGGTCCTCAACTTTGTCCTCGAGTTGCCATGATGTTGGTCATGAACAATCTAGCATTGAGAATCCTTGGGCATCTTTTGTGAAAAGAAATTCAAGGAGGAAAAAATCTCCCAGAAGTCCAATTGATGGTATTAGTGAAATTGAAATTCCTCCTGTAAATGACGACTTTTACTCAGGTAGTCCAAGTTACCAAGAAAAAGAAAACACTCCTATATCAACTAACAACTCACAGAAAGGCAGGCATACGGATGAGAGGTCTGTGGGACATACACAGGAGCACTGTATTGACGGATCAGCTGATTTTGTGTTCAATAAAGGCAACTGTGCTGAAAATGAATGTACAAACGGTAATGGAAATCTTGATGCAAAATTTATGAAAGAGTTTTGTATAGCACGTGAATCAGCCACTGATGATTGGGACAAATACTATGAGGTTTTGTGTGGTGGAATAGAAGAAAAGGAAACTTGTAGTAACACAGATACTTTATGCCAGAACACCACCAACAAAGTTCAGGAAAGTTCTGATTGTTTGGATGAAATTGATGAAACGGACAAGGACAAATGTAGGAATTACAAAGGAAAGGACCACTTGACTGAGAGGCTTGATTGTAGTTCTGGTAGCAATGTTTGCTCAAAATGTGGACTCTCAAGAGAAAGTGGAAGTCCCTCGTCAAGCAGGACAAAAAACAGAATTCATTTTGTTAATGGGGTTTGTGTTTCTAGCCCAAGTGGACAAACTTGTACTTGTAACAAACAATGCAAAGGTAGTTCACAAAGACAGTCTGCCAAGGATCCACTTTCGTCTTCACAGCAGGAGTTTTATCACAATCTTCGACAATACTTCGGAAGCAGTAAAGTCAAAACCGGAAAGGCAGCAAAGGAAGTTGAAAATGATGCGAGGAGTTCTGAGTTAAATCAGAAATCTTCTTCAGCTTATAGTTTTGATACAAATGTGTCAACAACCTCTGTAAAGAATGATGAACCTTTCAATGCTAAACCAAAACCTAATGTTTGTGAAACTGCACAACATAGTGTTAAAGGTGAATTGAAAAGCGAGCGAAGGAATTCAAGGGAACATGTCAATAACTGCAAAGTTACTGCCGCTGACACTGGCTCTGAGTCCAGAAAGGCGAAAACGTCGCTTGATTCCAATCAGATGAAAGCAGACAAGAAATCATCTGCTAAAGAGAAATTCCAACCTGTAGACAAACAAAAACAAAGAAGTCACAACAAAGTCCCAAGTAAAACCAAAGGATCAACAAAGGCTGAGCACTCAAAGGACAAGGTGGATGGTGAATCAAATGGTGATGACACACAAAGACAGCATTCCAGAGCAAAAGAAGGTGTCAATTCAAAGGTTAACCACAAAAAAAGAGTTGCTGAAGACACCTCCAGACCTGCGCCAGAACCAGAAACCATGAAGAAACCAAATCGGAAACAGAAAGAAAGAAAAACCTCTAAAGCAGTGGCTTATTGCACTGGGCTTGTTGAAGCTGTTTATCAAAGAGGTATTTGTAGCATGCAGATTGTACAATGTATACTGCATTTTAGGTATGCTTGTCTTCCAAAGTACTGTAGCTCTCTCAATAAAAAGCTAAGTGGGAACCCTGTGTGTGTCACTTGGTTGGGTTAACTGTGTATGTCTTCAGTCACTCTTTAATGAACTATTTCAATGTATTTGGTGAGGTTCGTGGAGGCTTATGAAAGGCAATTTTCTTCATGTAGGTTTAAAGTTGGCATCAAAGTGTCTCCATGTTTCAAAGTGGATTGCTTATTACGTCCTCTTTCTGGTTTGCTTGATCATCACCTTTATTCTATTCTGGTAAGCAAATCTATCAACCTATAGTCAAACCTTCCATAAGTGACCACCCAAAAAGCAAAGACTAGGTGGTCGCTTACAGGAAGTGGTCATGAACAAGAATTGAACCACTGGGGGCCTCTTCCAAGAAGAGGTCTAGGCACATCTACATGTACTTTGTGGAAGATAATTTATTGCATCCAATATCCAAGTTACGACATCTGTAGTTCCATGTTGTCACTAAATTTTTTCATATATTCTAAGTAGCATGGTGCACACAGCTACATGTAAAATAGAGATCAGCAAATGCATCAAGCGGTCACTTACTATAGGTAAAAAACAATGGAAAATGAATAACCACCAAGCCCAAAAAGTGGTCACAGTCTCTTACAGGAGGTGTTCGTTTACTAGAGGTTCCAACTGTAAGACTTTGACTCAGAAAATTTTGGTGTTTTGGATTGGCGATCACTTACGAGAGGTGGTTGCATATGGAGGTTTGACTGTATTTTGATGTTACTGTGTTAGGCCAATGCAGGGGTTTCAATAAGCCCTGATGACTGACGAAACGCGTCAGCTACGTTGCTCAGAGAAGTCGGCTCCTTTTTCCTCCGAGGAAGAAACAACTAGTTTGAATAATGTGATGGACAAAAATATAATAATTGTTCTTGCGGAAATGTATGTAACTTAGCATAGTTATCATTTGTCCATTGCTTGCAGGAGTTAATTGTGTGGCTAATAAATCAGAATTTGACTAAAACCCAAATCTTCTTGAATGGAAAACTTGCTCTTTTATTGTCAGTTTAGTCCCCTAAATGCTGGAAATTGGTTATTAGGGCTTTGCAATTTTAAAATTTTCGGAGGAAGCATGCCCCCAGACACCCCTTGAAAACATGGACTGTTGATACAGTTGGTTACTCAATTCAAATCTGCTGGCTACTTCGAATTTTAGTGAAACCCCTGCCAATGCTAAGGGTCCAGGCAAGCTAGGAGTCTTGTAACTAAATCGTAAACTAAGATTAGAAAACTATAGTAAGAGCTGCTTGTTCAGAAAGGACAATCTGAAATTCAACTCTTTATCAAGCATCAAAGGCTCCTTATTTTGTAAGGAGTAGTGACTTGGATATTGACAATTGAGTGATGTAAACTTTGTTGTTTTATCTTCTCAGTGTTTGGTATTCTGCTTCATGGCTGGTCAGAAAGGTATTTCACCTTTTGAAAATGGACAGGTTGTTTGGTGCTGTGAGGAGCAGAATCTCACCTCTGTTCGAGTGGCTTAGGAAGCGCAGAGGAACACAACAAACGGCTGCTACGCAAGGACCAACCTATGACTTACCCAAGAATGGTAATTGAGTGTACATTAGTGAGGGCCTGGGATGTGTTTTGTTATTAGGCAAGATTCTTGCAGTGCTGGCTACTGGCACATTTTTACAACTACTTTGTACATACATGTAACATAGAGAGGGAGGTTTTTGTGAAATATTCATTTTGCTTTATTCAAATACAAAACTAATCCCTACAGCAAATCAGAGCTAAGCTCTTTAAGCACATGGTAGCCCATGCTGCCCTACCTTTGCTCTTGGTCGACTAAACAGTCTTAGCGTTTTTTAACAGAAATCCTACTCTAGGCACCCTGGATTTCACAGGTTTGGAGGATTGGGCTCCCTTCAGTTTTTCTAAGAGAAGAGCCTTTCATATTATGATCACTTAAAGTGTCTTCCTTTTTACTATTTTTTATCCAGGGGATGCTGCAATAACACACATGCTGCAAAATAAGGATAGTGACCCATACAGGTTTGTGTGTAACAAGCATTTGCCTCAGGGGAAGTGCATGAAGTTTGTATGGGTGTACATTGAAACTTGTGTTAACCACATGCCTCAACCTTCTAATGCTAGTATCTGGGTTATAGCTACATGTCTGCTAAATTCTGTTTAGTTTTACAGAAAATACATATGTGTATGAGGGAAAAAAACATTTAGGACTAATATTATATTTATGTTTAGTTGTGTGTGCTGACGGTGATACAGGGTGGCTTGTTTACATGTTAATGAAAACATTAGCAAAATGGTGTTTATGTGCATGATTAGCATAAGGCGGCATCAAGGCAACAGCATGACGATAGACCTATTCGGCTAACTCAATGCTGTACCCAATTCAAACCCTTTGGGAATAAAACTTTTTGTTTCAGGAATTTCCGTACATTTAAATGAGAATGCCACATTATGATGCAAATACAATACACAAAGAATCTTAACCCCGGGAGATTTGAATTGGGTACAACATTGAGTTAGCCAAACAGGTCTATTGCAGGAGAAGAGGAGTTTCATGAGAAGCTCAACTTTTTCTTGTGTTTATACATGTACTTGTGTTGTGTCATTTACACATAATAATGACAATGACTAGTTACATGTAAATTCTTCCATTCCTCCATTTTCCCTCCCATCCATTCTTTCATTGCCATTGCCAGAATAAAAAAGGTACAATGAAAAGTGCAAATAATGATTTTATAGCAATTGGTGGTTTGTAATATTGCAGTGTCCTTGGAGTACCTAGTGATGCTTCAGATGACGATATTAGAAGACAATACAGGAAACTTGCTGTACTAATACACCCGGACAAGGTATGGGACACTTTCATCAGTGGTCTTAACTATTGTGGTAGAATTATACTACATGTATTTTAAATGATAGACTGAAAGCACAGTTTGGGAAAGGACATCATCAGCAACTCTTCTTGGACAAGTCAAGTCGTGGTATAAAAGAATTATGGTTGGAGACATGCCGGGTTGAGGAGATCCTCAATCAGAAATCTAAGACCTTATGGAAAAAAATGAAACCTAAAGACACAAGCACACAATAATGATATGGCTTTGTGGGTGATCAGAAATGCTTCCCAGTTATTGAGATTGCCAAGCCTTTGCTTAAGTGTTGTGTTGCTAACACTGTTTTTCTACAACTGGGTGGTGACAGACCATAATTATGTCACAGTGCTTCAAAGCTGAGGAAGAACTAAATGGCAGTGAATTGCATGCTTCAAATTCCTACTTTCAAAATTTATCCAACTTTTGAACATGTCACCATGCAACAGAACTACCATGAAAATTAATGATTACCAGCAGTGTTAATGTTACTTTTTCACTTAGAACCCACATGGTCAAGCTGATGAAGCATTCAAGATTCTTGCCAATGCTTTTGACATTCTTAGTGATGCAGTAAGTGCCCAAAACAATACCTACATGCAGATTAATTTTGTTTTGCTAGAATAGAACAAAAGAATAGGGAGGAGAAGTCATTATATCACATTGCCATGGTAGCAAAATTTTTGGATGACAACAAACCGAAAATTCTCTTAAAAAGTAAATTCGCACTGTTTCAAACTTTATCAATCTTATTCAATTTCATTTGATTTGTCAAATGTTGGTGAAATTTTCTGGGTTGAATCCAAAAGGACCGTATCTAAGTTTAGAAAAAGGAAAAGAAAAAACTTTTGTGTTGTGTTCACCTACTCCGTAAAGCGGGCGCATGAAATTAGGAAGTTTCATGTTGCAGTCGTGCAATGATGGCTAAAAAATGTGCAAAAAAGCATGATGCACGTTCAAAGTGTTGTTGTTTTACTGATATAACCTTATTGCTTTTTTTGTTGTTCTTGTTGCCGTCGCCGTTGTTGTTGCCTAAGATCCCTTTTGTTGTCTTCCAAACAATTTTGCTACCATGGTAACGTGACGTCACACTTCTGTCCATTAAATATTACATAAAAATACTGTGAAAGAGAGTGCATTTATTTCAGTCACATTATTTGATTTCATCCATGCTTCAAAAGTTAAAACTGTGCACTAAATTTAGGCATCCTACTGATGAACAGTTGGGACACGTAGATGCATTTTTTAGCAACTACTATAATTTGCAGTCTGTCTACTTTGAATACGTTGCACCTTATGAAAAAGTACTGCACCCAATTATTCAAAAGGTGGATTTGTTGGATGGATAGCACCATCCAACATTTCAGCATCCAAAGCCTGGTGATGTTTTATTTGAATAGTCACAACCATAGGATTTTCTTGATGGACACATCAGTTGTGATTACACACACTTTACTGGGTATTGTTTGTTAACATTACACTTGTAATAATTTACAATGTATGTTTAAAACAGGATAAGCGCAGAGATTATGACAGAGAAATGGCGTGGAAGAGGAGAGAGGAGGAATGGGCAAGTGCCAGTAGAAAGGTGATTTTAACCTTAACAACAGTATCCCTTACTATTCGCCATTGTGGCACTGCCTATAATACACCTTATTTCCCCTCCAACATTTTGCAAAACTATTGTTTCCAGTTTCTTGTGAGCGTGACAGTGATCCTAACACAAACTGAAAACTATGATTAAGGGGAATGCAAAAGTAGCAATTCCCCCCTCCCCCCACCCCCAGATGTGATACCAGTCCAATACAGCGCTGGAAAAGAGTTTACTACTGGCTCAAATTCCCCCAGAAAACAGAGACATCGGGTAATTTTCATGGTGCAGTTTAGTAACACTGTAATATATTCCTTGTAGGAGGGAAGTTCTGGCCATCCTACCAGTCCTGAACAATTTTTTGCTGATCTTGGAAAGAAGATGCAAGAGGTATGATACTGTGATAGATCACGCAACTTTTCCAGGGGTAGATTGATCAATATGTTCCTGACAGTTAAGTTAGTATATTACGTAAAACTTAAGTTTGTCCAAAATGTATGAATATTTTGCACGTCCAGTGAAAAGATTTTCAGTCAATTGGTGATGGGGGAATTATCCTTGTAAGGATCAAGGAAGACAACTCCAGTGGCAATAATTACAGTGTGAAGCAAATTTCTCTCGCGGCACAACCAATCAGAAGCACTACCCAGATCTGGGTAGTAACACGTCATCAGTATGGAATTTTTGCACTCGTTTCTCAGACGTCATTTCGTGATAAAACCAGTGATGGCGTCGAGAAATGTCGACTGATTTCCCAGAGTATAATTTTTTCTCTAGGGATTGTCGAGCAAGCAAAATACGCGAGCGTGCACCCCTGGAAAATGAGGGACTGCTCATAGTCTCACACGTATTTCTTAACGGAGTGACGAATAGAGCCTGTTCCAGGTGGTCAGATAGTGAATTATGGCGCGAAGTCAGCGAGCGGGAAAAAAATAAGGGAGAGGAGAGGGAGAGGGAGAGAGAAGGGAATGCTCACTCCCTACCCCACCCCTTGGTGTTTTTCCTTTTCACATCTCTTTGCACTGTCCCACAATCTGAACGGCTGTGACAGGCTATGACTAACGCGCATGCTTCATACACACAAGTCTCAGATATCTCTCTTTTTTAACGTAGATGCAAAATTATTTACACTGTAATCAGTGTGATGGAAAACACCGACGCTACAGCACAGACCGGTTTGTTCTGACGGCGCGGTATTGCAGTCGTTGTAACACAAGACATGCTGCGAAAGAGGTAAGGAATCACAATGTTTCAGTATCAACGAACAAATTCTCCTTTCCAAGCTCTATTCATTTCTCATACTGCTGATAAGGAGAAGTTGTTTCTTATCGGCTTGGTTTAAATTTGGCGATCATTTCCTCAATTTTGATGACCTTGATCGTCATAATCTAATTTTATTATTTTGTCTTGGTTTTTTCCAGGGAGATTTGTGGGCGGAAAGCAGTTTTCTTGGTTATAAGATTCACTTCTACGCTTGCATGGAAGGTGAAGTCTATGATGTCACTGACTGGGCAGCGTGCCAGGTACATCTATACACTTAGCAGAAATTCTCAGATTTGTCTTCATTGCACTCTGGGTATCAGAGCTCTTTTCTCGAATACGGTGGTAAGCTTCGGTGTCGGTCACAGGCCGACTCATCTTAAGCCACGAGAAAAACTTGCGAAATCGGAAAGCGCGCGTGATAATTCTCTGGCGCACAGATTTTTAATACCTACACTGGATTGTCCTAAAAGTGCCAAAGGCGTGTTTTAGGGTGCGAGACAGTAGAAACGTCTTATTTTGACCATCTGATGACTGCAAGTAATCATTCTGGGAATGATTCTTCGGAGCCTGTTATTTTAACGAGGGATTCTTTTTGTGGTCCTCTTAAATGGTGTTCAATCAAAAATTACAGTTATACAACACAACTGGGTACGGCATCCTCGTTTTAGAGTTTCTCTTCGATTCTTGCTCTGAACTGGCCAATCACAACAGAGGCAAAGAATCCGTTGGACCAATCAGAATTTCAAACGTTTAGCGCGGGAAAAAACGCGGGCGAGCAATTTACGATTGGTTGGTTTCTTATTGGTTAAAAGTGGCGGGAAATCAAAGCAAACGCGAAATTTCCTTTTGAAACAATTCTGAAAACTAAGTGCTTAAGGAAAGATCTGTTGTTTGCAGGGTCTCGGCAATTATCGATTGGAGGCCAATCCTCATACGGTTCACCTAAAACTCAAGACTCGACAATCCTCTCCTGGCGGCTTTAACTCAAGGTAGGTTCGTTTATCTTATATGTAAATTGCTCTTTAGAGGGTTTCAATTGGATGGTGGCATTTACGGTTAATGTTTAGTATTTTTCGCATTTCTACGGCTAAAGGTTAATTTCAGTCTCACCGTTACGGTTAACAGACATCTGAAGGACAAAAAAGTTGTTTTGAAAAAAAGTCAAAAGTTTTTTTTGGTCTAGGCTTCTAAGAGCCTTTTCAAAACGGTAAACACAGGTTGAAATAGTGTCCATCAGCCACGAGTTCATTCATTTTTTTTCAAGCGCTATTGAAACTTTCTCCTTGACTAGTGGCCTTAAAATCTTTTACGGTTAACTTTCTTTTACGACTAGAGGAGGCGTGTGGTGCCGAGCGGTTAACACCTCGAACTCCGGATCTGGGGGTCCAGGGTTCAAGCCTCGCCCGTCGCGTTGTTTCCTTAGACAAGGAACTTCACTCCACTTTGTCCCTCTTCACCAAGGTGAATAAATGGGTACCGGCGACATACTGCATGGGGGGTAACCCTGCGATGGACTAGCATCCCATCCAGCGGGGAGTAGCAATACTCCTAGGCATGCTTAATGCTAAGGAAACCGGGATAAACTTCGACCGTTTGGGCCTTTGGCTTGTGTGTGCCCTTACCTTTTTTTTTCCCTTCTTATTACGACTAACGATTAAACAATTTCGTTTCTTACGTCTAACGACTAAAATTTTTACTCTTTTACGGCCGACTGTTGACGCTACTGTGACCCTCTGTTAGTCTCTAGCATTCATTTGTTGTGTAAGAACATGAAACTCAAAGCTTCCCCAAATTCTACCCATTTTTTGTTGTATTATTCTCCATCTATTCAGATTTTACCTTGTAAAATGGTTTTTGTTTGCTGCTTTTTTACAGGTCAGAAGAAGAAGATTTTGAAAATTTCATGCGTGCATTTTTCGGTCAGTTTAACCCGCCTAGGGAAGAACGAAACCAAGGATCAAATAAGCAGCCCAAGAAACGCAAGAGAAAGAAGCGCTAACTAACAGCTGATAGGTCCTACATAGACCGCTTGTGTTGTGTAAAAGCCGTCAGAGCTAACGTGTGACCTTTTTTGTGCTAAGGGTTTCTGATCGTATATTCTTCTTCGAAGTAGTCTTCGGTTGAGTAAGGGTCCACAGACTCAAAAGTTAGTACCACCTTGTACCGTATAATAAGCAATACCACGGGAAAGTGATGCTCAGTAGCTGCTCCTTGTTGGTCACTGTTAGGTTTAGGTTTCTAAGAGTGGTAATACTGCAGGATTCTTGGGTTAGAACTACCTTGAAGAGTACGATAATTAGACTCCTGGACGAAAAACTACAGTGTAACCATTCAAGTGATCATTTTCCAGAGGGTTAAGTTTTCTTTTCTCGCTCTTCATAAGGGAAGGGCTTGTTTAACCTTAAGTTAGACAATGAGCAGTTTTCTCGATCTTCGTTCTTCCCTTTTTTTTCTTTTTTTCGAAAAAGAAAAAGGCCACGCGCGCGACTGCAGCTGACACCCTCGCTGCTCGCGTGCGTACCACCCCGACCAACTTCGAAGAGAGTAAGGGATAGAAAAAAATGAAAAAGAAAAAAAAAAAAACTGCTTTATATCAAAATTCAATTGGTAACCTGTAGGGTTACAGTTCATAAAAAAACATTTAGTGTTGTGAAAAAAGAAACCGTGCTAAGGATTGGTAGATTACAAATATCAAGTGAAGACTCTTGTTCAGTCTGTTTGGGGGTTGATTAGGGAATATATCTTTAAGAATGTCAGCCGATATAATATTAAGTGCATACGTGGTGAGGTTTATATAGAATTAATACTTAAAGCATAATTGTTTAAGAATAAAATATATATTTTCTTGTTGAGACAACACGAGTCGGTATAAGTAAGGTTTTCTAACGCCATTATATACAAATATTACTTTCATTGGTCGCTGTTGAGTTATTAATATTTAAATAAAATGGATATTTTTCTGTATTGGTGTCCAGGCCCTATTGTTTACGCACCATCAGGGATGGGAAGAGAGGTACCCTGGGTGCCAGAGGCTTTTCATGCGCGGTTTCCGCTCGTGTCAGTTCGGCCTTCGGCCGAACACGTGTCGGCCTGCGGCCGACAAAACGAAGCTCCCCGTCGCACGCGAGGAAAAAACCTCTGGTACCCAGGGTAGAAGAGAGGTGACTTGCATTCAATAATTCAATCCTCAAAATAGTTTCTATATATATCACCTGTGAGCAGAGGTTTCTCTCTTGCATGGTTTTTAGCGTACACGAAGTCGTTTGCGTCGCGTAATTGACAAACCAAATACCGTAAAATTCCGAAAATAAGCCATTCCATTTATAAGCCCCTCCAAATATAAGCCCCACAATATCGTAACGCAAAAAATCCTCCGTTAAATCGCCCCTCCGAATATAAGCCCCCCGGGAGGCTTGTATTTGGAATTTGCCCTCGAATACAAAGTAAAACAAGGCAAAAACGGTAAGTTTCCTTCCCACTAAAAAGCTAGCCCAATCGATTTTGAAACGCAAATTTCCCTCCGTACATAAGTCCCTCCGACTATAAGCCCCTCAAAAATTGCCTTTGAAAAATATAAGCCGCGGGGCTTATTTTCGGAATTTTATGGTATGCGACAGACAAGCGACGCGAACGACTTCGTAAATGTTAAAAGACATGCGAGAAACGTCTGCTCATTAAGACTTTTGTTCTTGGGCCATCGAAGTTACACTAAAAATAAAACACAACCAGCGGTGATAAACATCGTGAACTTTGATCGCATTTTTTCTAAATTTGACGTTTCGTATGCTAGTCAACATGTATTTTTAAAAGTGATCTAAAGTTACTATCAGATTATGATCATTTTTAGATTTGAGAGTGTATGTTGACTAGCATACGAAGCGTCAAGTTGACTGGCTGCCAAGACCCATTATGGCTCTTGCTGGCTGCCCAAAGTACAACATCATCTCTTTAAGAAGTATCCAACCTTCGACTGCAGTCCCACGTCCCCCCCCCCCCTTCCCCCTCCCCCAAACCCCCGAAAAAAAAATTATATCCAGAGTGAGGATGGAAGGAGTGTCCTTTCTTTTACCCAGACATAATACGCTCCGCCGTACACACAGTACTTACTGTATGTACCCATTGAAGTAACGCTGGACATGTGCTGGCTCGTTTGGTAAAATTTCCAACACTGAATCTGCAAAGGAGTGATTTGGAGCGGAAAATCCGTATTTACAAACGAATGAAGAGCGCAACGGCTTTAGATTTTCCCTCAGAAGATTACATTCTTATATACGGTTGAACAGAACTGTCTCCATGGACAAATACAGTAAACTTGTGGTTGGGATCAAAGTTGACATACAGCGTACCGATGGTAGGTGAAGTTCAATTTACAACACAAGAACAACAAAAACCATTTTTTTCTTAGGGCTCAGTAAAATCGACGACCAACCTACTTTTTGTATTCATAAAATATAGTGTAATAACTTTTTCGTAGTGCGGTGTCAATTTTTTCAGGGTTTGTTACTGTCGAGTAAATTACCCGGCGCGTTAACATAATTTGAAGGTTGTTTGCCTGTGTATTTCAGTGATACAAAGTGTAAACATCTCATGTCTTTACCTCCTCGCCTTAGTAACGACGCTTTCCTTTTTTCAGGGGAAAAATCGGTCTAAGTATTATGCGCTTTAATGTGGGTTTCATCAATCAGATCTTGTGGAAGATTCTTATCTACATAGCTCTAAGATACTCATACATTCTTCATAATAAGGAATGTCTACATTCAACACGATAAATAAAAAGTTTGCAGTTATTTATCGCCTCGACGTAAATCTGTAGTTCTTAATTCTATATTCACCAGTACCAGCACAAATCAAGAAATCTGTAGTCCCAAGAACAATTTATTATTTGTTAAAAAAGAAAAAAACTGGTATATTGAAAGAAAATATGCTAAAAAAATGACATTCAGCTGGTGACTTTTATGATTTATTGACACCCTATTTCTTAAAAAAAAAAAAAAACATTTGCTTAACAGTAATAACAGTATTATTCTCTGGTACAAAAATACTTATACCAAGGCTATCAAGCACTGACAGTATCCTTTGAGCACTCAGGCCTCTTTATCTTCCTAAGATCATAGCTGAATATCTCCTTTGTTTGACTGTATTTTATTATTATTTTTACTCTAGGACGCATTCACTCCTCAATGATAAGTGGCATTAACTTGGACACAAAAAGTGTGACTGTAGAATGGTATGAAAATGGGGAGACAAAAGGGAAGGAGGTAAGATTTATATTGTTGAGTTATTTTTATGGCAGTTTCATTGTGTTGTGGATGAGCTGATTTATACTCACCAATAAGCAAACTGCAACATGTTAAAAGCAGTCTGAACAATATCTTTAACATAAAATTACAACACACTAAGCTGCTAACGTAACCTGTGCCACCAATTTTTTTTCGTTCTGTTTTTTTGTGGAGATCCTGTATTAATCACAGAATTAGTTCCTTCAATGCACAAAAAAAGCCCACCCCCAAAGTGTAACTCCTGAAAAAAAAAATGACTTTTTGGCCCAAATAATTTATTGAAAATTGTCTCACCCACATGCATGCTGGCTGCAACCAATCAAGTTCTTTGCTTATTTTTATGCTCAGAACCTGTGAAAAGTCTTTCTGTATTTATGTGATCTTTAGGATCACAATATTCTCACATGTCAATGATTAATGAGACAATAACTGTCTCATTATTTCATTAGTGGTATTATGCTTCACTGGTCTTCACTGTAAATAAATATGACACAACACACTCTCAGTCAGAAGAAATATTTTTCTATATATTTTTATTACACAAAAGAAATGTTAAAGGTATCACGAAAACTCATACATTCTTGCAATGTTGTCTCAAGTGGTTGAATTTAAAAACTTGCTGTTTTAATGTTTAAATATTATGTTTTGAACAGACAGTTTTAGCCTGGGGCAAGTATTTTTTTTAAAATCTTTCTCATGTGGTTGCAATTAGTTTATTAATATTTGCTTGGAAATAGAAAAAAATTACTGTGTCATTATTAATATTCTTTCTTAATTGTGCTACCTTATAATGTTCAATCAAATGCCAAAAAAAAAGGACTTATGAGAAAATGTAGTCAAAAATGTAGTCAGATAAATTGTTGTCAAAAAATCCACTAGATCTCTAGAATAATTCCCACAAGTTACCTAAATTTAATTTGACTTCTTAATGTGTGTTATGACTTTAAGTTATCTCTCTTAAATGGTCCACCCAGTGGATAGCAGTAAGCGTTTTGTTCAGCTCATACCTGCTTATATTTTCTCCACACTGTTTTCCAATGCATACATTTTTAAAAAATAATTATTTATAAGCCACACTATACATTCCTGCTCATTTGGGATTTCATCTGTGATCAGCACATAATGAACTTCAGTGAAAAGGAGGAACTTATATTATTACTGTAACTCTGACAACATTCAGCCATTCTCACCTGAGTCCTGATCAAGGTCTCTAGTTAATGCTCATTATTGTGTTCGTTAGGGATGATAGTTATAAAATTATAAAATTATTTTATGCATCTCTTCTTTCATTGCAGATTGAAGTTGACCAGATTTTTGCCTTGAATCCCACCCTTGTTGTTCAACCAAAGCCCTCAAAACCAACAAACAAAAGAATTTCTTCAACACCAGTCAACAAAGTATGTGATTGTAAACAACTGCCTTGTTCAAATGTCATAAATTAATGGTGACTAGAATTGTCCCCGGCACTTATCAGTGCAGCCTGTATCAATTTAATGTTAAAATGTTTCTTACTTGATTTTGCAGAATGCAAGGAATGAAAGTCACTCAGTGTCTTCTCCAAAAGCTTACACACCTTCAGGTCTAAAGATTGTTTATTTAATCATATTGTCCCGATCCAATACATGAATTCTCATCTGAAATCTTGATATTTCAAAATTGATTCAGATTGTTAGGAGGTTTGAGAAATCATGTGTTAAAGTTGGGTTTTTTGGTTTGTAGCATTGAGAGCTTCAAGGAACGAAGGGTTTATGAAATCAGGATTCTTCTATAACTATTGAGTAACTTTGTGTTCTCCTCCAACTATTTTTTTCCTGTCAAACCCATCTCTTAGCCTTTTGGAAACTTCAATGCATTACCCTTCTGTCATCTTAAAAATTCATTTATTGCATTTAATTTGTTTACAAGCAATACTCCAGTTTTGAATTTGCTGTGGCTGCTGAATAGAGGCACTGAAGACTCGTTTATACGTGGTTAGCCTCAACCTCAGATAAATATGTTCACTAATTCCAGTCTGACAAAGACCTGTGTACAACTGTGTCTATTGTTTTAAACTCAAATTCAGGCACCTTCTCCCCCTTATTTATGAATATTTTACTTTAGGCTGAGGCTAACCCTGTACAAATGAGTCGTTGGCAATTTTATTCAGCGGCTAAAGGTTATTGTTGGTTTTGTCCACATAGAGTTGTACCATGAATTGTCCATGCACAGAGCTGCACCCCCACAGAGCTAGGGTTTGTTGATTTGAGTGGCCTTCACCCCTTTGAAAATTATTTCTTTTTCTGCTGTTAAATATTTTTATACTTTCCTTTAAAAAAATGGCCTTACAGATCTCCATACCAAGTTCTCTGAATTGCCAGTAACCCTCGGTGGGGCTTAAGTATTGCTATTTATGTAACCACAATGTGAAGATATCTTATCGGCTTTGCAGGGAAAGTTGAGCGTCCAATGGCTCTTAATCTTGCAAATGAAGATGATGGAGGCTCACAGATAGAGATTCCACAAAAAGATAATCCAAGCTCCAATGCAGGTAAAGTGACTGTTTGTATTTTTTGATGATCACTGTTGCTAAAATAAAATCTGAGCACTCTCTTTCTTTCTTTTAAAGCTATAATCCATTCTTTTATTATGGAGAAGTTAAATTGGTGTGTTAATTCACTTTTATTTATGGGTTGAAAAACTCTCAGCTTCAGTTGCCTCAGTCTGTTCTTGGGAGTAAAACTAGCTATAATTAACCTATTTTGCATTAAAAAATTAATATTGAAATAAATTGTATTTACCAATAATTTTTCATGGAATAAAGAATCATCCTTACAGTTGTGAACCCAATTTATGCAACTGCATAAGAAGCCTGAAAACAATTCAGGTCTTCAATGGGGTTTGAACCCCTGACCTCACGATACTAGTGTGATACTTTAACCAACTGAGCTTTGAAGCCACTGATGTTGGGAGTTGGTCAATTATGTTCATATATGTTCCTGTGAAAGAGATGAATGTGATAGATGTATATGAAATAAATCATGTTCATCTATCGATCACTGACAACAATTTTTCATTTTGGTACCCTTAACATTGTTTTTTTCTTCTCCCTTTTACAGTAAATAGGAGACGGTCCAACTGTGTCAAGGAGATTGAGCGTTTAAAAAAGAACAGAGAGGAAAGAAGGTAAATAAAATACATTTTGGATTCTCAAGCAACAACACCCAGGCCAAGTTCCTGAGTGTGTAAATTTGGTTGTTAGCACAGAGACACAATCTGAACATTTTGAAAGGTTTTTTTTATTATTTCTTGTGGAAAATTGAATGCTAAACTCATGTCTATTGCACTAATCTTTGCTAGTCATCAAACACCTGGTACATAAGGTTTTAGGTCAGCCCCCTTTTGTCTTAATTATTTGGAAAGAAACTCCTTGAATGAAAAATAGGATTTGTCTCTAATTGTCCTTGTAAAAAAAAAGTTCTCAGGTCTGAAAGTTTATGAACTACATGAAACATGAACCCACTGATAAAGGGGCCTACCCAGGTTTTGCTCTTCTTGTTTTACATCACAGTGTGCAACTAAAGAGAGTTTATTTGTGAGTTCATGCTACCTTAATTGTAATTTCCAGAGCTCAACAGCAAGAACAGCGAGAAATGAAGCTTCGTCTACAGCAAGAGGTGGATCCTGGAAACTCCAACTGGGAATTTTTACAAATGATAAGGTATGATATGTCATGATACCATCACATGAGACAAATTCAATAAGAGCACATCTAATAGTTATTTTTATGTTTGTAATATTGTTTAATAATAACATTTATGTATGGTAATACCCAGATATGCAAAGTTTGTGAAGATGAAAAAAATTAAGAGTCATTTTTCAAGGCTGTGCTATAAGAAAACAGTGCTCTGAACCTGTAAAATCTGGGGTGTCCAGCATATGATTTGTATGAAAAAAGTAAGATTTTCAGTTTGTCCAAGAGCAAAAGTCAGGCACCAGGGGTCACCGGGTGCCGCTAGAGAACAGCCTTTCATTTTAAAGGAAAATCATTGCTATTAACTGTTTTTAAAAATTATTTTTCTCAGGGAATACCAAGCAGAGTTAGATATCAAAGGACTGACAATGTCAGACCCAGTAAGTATACAATAATTTTGTTACATGTATTATTCGTTATAATAAATTATTATAATTATTACAGTATATTACTATAATTTTTAATCAATACCTTCTCTAGTTAGAGAGCCAGACAGCAACAAAAACAACATTAACCTTTATTTTCATGACTATAAATAAGTAATTATTATTTATGGTATTGCAAAAGGTACGTAAAATAAGAATGAATAGAAAAAGAAATAATATTATGAAATTAATAATAACAGATAATCAAGTGACATTATTCTTGCATGACAGTACATTGTCATGCAAATTACTCAGAGAGATGAGATATAATTCAACTGTAAATTAACTAAAATAAGAGAACCAGTAGTTCATTTGAAAACAGCAGTTTCCCTAACAATTCATTAACAACCATACTTCAAAAATGCCTCTCAATTTTAACAAATACTTGTAAACACATTTTAACAAATACATTTTGCCTTGCATTGGTTCAGTAATGGATCATAGAATTTTTATTAAAAAGTGTAAAGAAGCAGGATATTCAAGGGTAATATTTTAAATCACATTTCTTTGAACATGTCAATAACATGTAATATTACTGTGGAATTTTTTTTCTTCACTTAACAGGTTATAGACCACCAAATCTGTGTTTGTGTCCGCAAACGACCTCTCTCTAAAAAAGGTACTTGCACAAATTTTACAAATTCATAGCAATAATTTGCTAATTTATACACCTGAATTGACAGTATTTTCTGGTGTTTAAGTTTGCCCTTCCAAGGGACAAATTGATATGCCCCGTTTACTTGACATCTCGATTTACAAAAATAATGTACTGCAAAAATAGAGTAAATTAAACTGGCTTTAATTGCTACAGCATGTACATGTATTTGGTTTTAAAGGTTAGAAACTGTGTGTTTTTGTATTCATGTCATGTACATTCATGCAATTAACTGTTTAACTTCAAATTGCATTTCCTATAGAACTTAACAAAAAGGAAGTTGATGTTATCATAGTACCAAGTGGTGATTACTGTGTGGTAAGTTTTCTATGTAGTGACAGTGAGTTTCTAATATGGTGACAATGCTTTGTTGAAAAATTGGTTGAAAAAATGATTCACATCAAAATAAACATATTCAAGTTCTGTAAAACCTCTAAAAATGCCTGTACAACTTGATCTGGTTTCACTATAATGCAACATTGATTTAGAAATATTTATAGAATTTTAAATTGTTTGTTATTTCAGGTCCATGAGCCCAAGCAGAAAGTAGACCTCACAAAATACTTAGAAAATCACAAATTTTGGTAAGTGAGAAGTTTTTGTTAAATGCAACTTGTTAATTATTAGTAACAGGTCATTTGTGATACTCTAGCTATTCTTGACAGAATTTGCCTTTGATTTTGTTTTAGGTTTGATTATGCTTTTGACGAAAATGCAAATAATGAATTGGTGTACAGGTAAGCCTTTTCACTCCTATTTAATCTGCTGATCAGTTCATTAAGGGGCTGTTTACATGGAGGGAGGAAGATCCTAGTACCAGGAAGTTCCTAGAGGGCGGATCATCCTAGTGCCATATGTTTTCTGTATTCAGTTTACATGCAAAGGGTTGTACTTGTCCCTAGCACTAGGATCTTCCTAGTACTAGGATCCCTCTCGCTTAGAGGTAGGAAGTTCCTAGCACTAGGAATATCCTAGCACCATGTAAACTGCTTTCGCTAGGAAGATCCTAGTACTAGGTACAAGCGCGACAAAAATGTCGGCGGGTCGTTCAGTGGCTAATTACGGCAATAAAGGCTGACCATTTCGTTTGGAGTAATCCACAAGCAGGTTATTGTGTTAATTCAGCTGAAAGGTAGTGATTTACGCCGGTAAAGAGAGCAGAAGGACCCAAATTGCATTTTTGATTTTGTCGTCCACCATTTTTAATTCCTTCTCTAACTTTCCCTACTTGGACAACTCACGGGCCGAAATTTCAGCATGTAAACCCAACGTAAAGTTATTCCACCTTCTAGGTTCTTCCTGGTACTAGGATTTTCCTCCCTCCATGTAAACAGCCCCTAAGACGTTGGTGTGTTCCCAGTGGCATTGGCTGTTGCTCATTTTCGAGTTTCTCGTGTAATAATTATGAATGGGTGTAATATATCTGCCCTCTAAGTGGTAAAACTGGTTATAGCGCTGAATGCGTTCATCAATGTCAAACGTCGGAAAAATGTCTTATTGAACGAGGGAGGGAAATACGCGAACGCGCCCACACGTTAAAATTACAACCCTCCAGGAAGGTAACACGCGGAGGGAAGAGAGATCAACGCAAAGCACATGTCCAACGTTGGCCACAGTTTGTAGTCCCTCGTTATCTCTTTTCTCTCCGCCTATCCTCTTTCTTCCGGGTAGCGATTTCACGCCCGCTTGCTTCTCGAAGGTAATGCGTTTCCTCCCCCTGAGGGTAGGGTTATCAGGGGGAAAGGGATTTCCGCACTTTCGCGCACTCCGTTTACCGTACACAAGAGCCATTTTTGGTAATGGGACTTATGGCTCTTGCTGTACATGAGGAACTTTTTTCAGTTACGCAAATTAATGACACATACATCTGAGATGAGGACTGTTAACATCCATAAGACAGCTTCTTCAAACTATACTCTGCTAGAAACATGGACTCATAAAGTGAGAATTTGCATTTTGATATAAGAGGAAAACAGTGAAATCTAACACAGCGCGTGTTTTGTTTTTTTTGTTTTGTTTTGTTTTGATTTTTTTTTTTCAGATACACTGCTAAGCCTCTTGTGGACACGATCTTCAACCAAGGAATGGCAACTTGCTTTGCTTATGGCCAGACTGGAAGTGGTAAAACGCATGTAAGTTGACTTTTTCCCCCCACTACAGCCAACTTTCTCGTAATGGACACCTCTGTAAAACGAGCACCTAGAGTTGGTCCCTGCCTTTCTTTACTCCGCTTATTTGACTCTTTATAAGACAGACACTTAGTGCTGATCTAAAAGGTGGTCGTCTGAGGATGGATTTCCACTTTAACGTAATTTCAACGTGCGTGCGTGCGTAAATAAAATAAAGGTGATGTACGAGATGTACGCGTGTAAACGTAAAAGTTGAACCTCGCTCAACATTTGCGTTTACGTATATTACGCGACAGTGAAAATCAGCCTTTAGAGAGAGTTAATTGTATTGGCATTCAAATATGTCTTGCCTAATCACTTTCAAAATCAAGTCTTTATTGCTTTACAGACCATGGGTGGTACTTTCTCAGGGAAACAACAGGATTGTACAAAAGGAATTTATGCCTTATCAGGTTGGTATCGCATGTACCCTTTCAATAGTACAAAACAAATGTCCTGAGTTACCATTACATTCAGCTAAAATGGATTGAAATGGTTCCTTTTCGAGGCACACGCGACGGGGGCAGCCTCATTCCGTCGCGCGTATCTGGTGCTCCTCGCTTGCATCGTGCTTGCCAACGCGAAGATGACGAAATAACGCATGTAGTTAACGAACCTTCAGCGCTTATGTTATGTATTACCTTAAACTTTATCAAGATCGCGGGAATGCGGTAATGGTGTATAAATGTGGCCTTTTAAAACAGATTATTCACCTCGTAAGTTGGAAGTCCTGGCGTTTTCTAGTTGGTGATACAGTGTTATGACAAGTTTTCATGGAGCCGGAACGTTATCGTTTTTTTCTTGCAGCTCAAGATGTTTTCAAACAGAACAAATCACCGAAACATAAAAACAAGGATCTTCTAATATCTGCCAGTTATTTTGAGATTTATGGAAGCAAAGTAAGTGAAAAGATCTCGAGAATTTTCAACATGCTGCATTTCAAGGCCTGGGAATATCAGGTTTCATGGCTGTCAAAAATTGCAACTGTACGTCTTGTTATTTCTTTAAAAATGTGTATCCTTCTAAACCCCCCGCCACCACCACCGCCACCAAAAAAAAATGCATGTATTCATTATGTAAAACGCTAATGTTTTATTGTAGCTGTTTGAAAGCTGATTTTAACTCCGTTAAGATGGACCAATTTAAGCGAAAACGCGGACGACCTTGGCTGCAAGAAGACAAAAATTTCAATAGCCGTCGTCTTGATTTTAAAGGCCATTTTCATCCTTCTGTTTTTTAGGTATTTGATTTACTGAATAAGAGGAAAAGACTAAGAGTGTTGGAGGATGGAAATCAGCAAGTCCAGGTAAAAAAAGGCAATTGATCAATGTCTTGTGTGGTTTAAATGTTAGCATTGTAGCAATAGTCGAACTTTGAAATCTGGCCAATCAGCACTACGGGGGCAAACAAATGTACCAATCAGATCTCGGCTAAGTACTGTAAGCGGCTCCAAACGCGGGAAAAACTTGCAAGCAGCTGACGAATGGTTTATTTCATGCTTCTGATTGGTTTATTTAAGTGTCACGCCGGGTTTCTTAGCCAATCACAGTGTTTGGCTATCCAAACCAAAAGTGATTACTCCTGAAAAAGTTATCGATCAATGTTCTGTTTACCATTATTCTCGGTGTAGGGAAGCAGTGTCGAGTAGTGATTCTTGTCTAGGGAAACATACTATTCAGGAGAAGGCAAAACTCTACGAGCTTCCTTTATGTTAGTTTACTCACCTGGGTCTTGAATTTACAATTTTGTTTTTTGTTAATGTTTGTCTGTTTGTTTGTTTTTGGCGTTACTTTTCACGGCAGGTCTGTGACTTGGAAGAAAAGATAGTGCATTCAGTGCAGGATACATTGAAACTCATCGAGCTTGGTAATAAACTCAGGTAAGCAACACCCTCGGCACATAGTTGTCTTCGAGCATCTTGTTAGCAAACCATAAAGAAAGGTTTATAAGCAGCTTTTCAACACGCAAATCGCCAGTCATGTTTTTTCCAATTTTCAGCATTCACATGCAGATCTTTGCGTTATCAGTGTGTATTTTAGTGTAGACTTAAAAAGACATGAAATCGCGTGTAGATCACGTGTGGTTATTTTCCTTTAGGACTTCTGGGCAGACATCAGCCAATCAGAATTCGTCGAGATCTCACGCGGTATTTCAGATCATCTTGAGAAAGAGGTAAGTTAGAATACACTGAACTGAAATTTTCTCCGTAAACTCCGAGAAAGAAAAGGTTCTGTTTTTCACTGACCATGTTTTCGTTTCTTTCTTTTTAGGGGATTCAGAAAGGATGGCGGGGGAGGCCAACTTTACGGCAAATTCTCACTAATAGATTTGGCAGGTAAGTCAGTTCCAAACGTTTTTAGTTTCTCCTTGCTGGGCATTTAGTGGTGTTGAAAATTATTTATCGAGTCGGTTAACAGTAAACGTCTAAGACCTTGCACTGTGACGTGCCGTAGCAATGAACTGTAGTAAAACTATCACTTTCAAACGTTTCTACCATTAAAATATGCCACTGTAAAACTAAAGGAAAAATAGTTGATGAACTCCTTCTCATCTGTTAGGTAGATTTAGCGAAGACAACGCAATGTCAAAAATGACGTAAAAGCGCGCTGAAAGGACTGAACTCGACTTCCGGTGCTCAATTTTCTGCCATTGGTCCGGTATTTTTTTACGTTCTGCGTGCGACGTCATCACTGTCGTGGCGTTGTCTTTGCTAAATCCGCCTATTGTTTGACATGCGCACAGGAAACGAAAGAGGCGCTGACACTTCAACCGCTGACCGAGTTACAAGACTTGAAGGCGCAGAAATAAACAAGAGTTTACTGGCTTTGAAGGTTAGTATTATTTTTGTTTAAGAAGCAAACGTAGAGAAGGAGAAACGGTAACGGAAGAGATAATGCAGGATAATCACGCCTATTTTTGGATAGGCATCTTTACAAGATTAATCAACGACTTCCAGTGAGGTTAGTGAAGTCTTGGGAGGGTGCAAATTGTTCGTGCGGAAAAAAGTGGAATCAAAGGAATATCGCTTGGGCGTGGGGTAGTGTGGTTTCTATTTCGCCAAACTCCATTCCCATGGGCTATTTGTTTTGTATCAAGTAAAAAAAATTAAAGGTCTCTAACTTCTTCGCCAGCGCATGAGTAAGAGGTGCTCGAAAGGGAAGGGGAAAGGGGAATTCGCGCGCGATGAAACGCGAATTTTAGCCTCGCGTGTCTCCCTCGTGCGCGCCTGTTCTTTCTTACGTCCATTACTTCCACGCTCCTGCTACGCAGGCTACGAGAATTCCCTCCTTCCGCCATGTTGTTTAGTTCATTGCTTCTTCTCTTTACAGACTGTAAGTTTATTTTCAATCTTCACAGGAATGCATCAGAGCTCTTGGAAGAAAGGGAGCACATCTACCTTTCAGAGCAAGCAAACTGACGCAGGTGAGAAACTTCATACACTCTTCCAGGCAGCTACTATGTCAAGGAAGAATAAGTTATCTAATGTACAGAAATGGTGAACAAAGGCCCCCTTAAATACACTCTGTAAGCAGCTTTGTGGTGATTCACTCTTTGCGGTATTGTTTTTACTCCACAGGTTCTCAGAGACTCATTCATAGGAGAGAACTCAAAGACTTGTATGGTAAGGTTCGATTGTGAATGAAGCTTTAGAGATTTAGATCAGTCTCCATAATTTTGTACCGTTGCCTTTAGATCGCCATGATATCGCCGGGAATGAATTGTTGTGAACACACCCTGAACACACTTCGTTATGCCGACAGGTAAGTAGCAATCGAGACTGCCAAATTTATCATGTTTTGTTAATGTTGTTAATTTTTGAGTAAACTGGGCCTGCAACGTAAGGAGCTGGTCAAAAAGCATAGGGAAGGGTGAGTCAGAGCAGAGAGAGGGGGAGGGTCGTCAGTTTTTGCACCCTGTGCAAGGTGTGGGACGTGCAATTTTTAGCTATCCTTATGGGTGTGTCTCATCCTATTTTATTACAGAGATATGATTTTTCATACATATAATTTGGTTTCACTGGATTAAAAGTAAACCAAATAAATGTTTACTAGTAGGGATGGCTAGGTAACTTTTAACCTTCAGTTAGGGGTAGCCTTTTCCAAAAAGAGAGGATGGGCCATGTGTTTTTCGTCCTTCACATTTTGAAAGCTCCAGCCCCAGCCCCTTGCCGTACCTTTTTCCAGCCCCTAATTGTAAAAAGCGTTGCCTTTGTTTTCTAATGGTTCCATGAATGTTTGGCAGAAGACTGAGTAGAAGCATTATCTCCTTTGTCTCGGTAGAGTAAAAGAGCTTGGACCCGAGAGTAACCGCAAAAAGAAAGGAGCTGCAGCTAATGGCAGCGAAGATGATGGAAGCAGCCCTGATGAGATGTCCTCTCTGTCAGGTGGCCGACATATCAACAATGTGGATCTTGCTCTTCTCTGTAATCACAGTGTACGTATTCATTTAATGTGACTTCACAACTTCCCTTCTCAAACGCATTGATATTTCTTGAAGAGAAAACTACCGTGACACACAGTGGCTTGGATATCAGATCTTAATGTAAAATTTTGCGACCCTTGAGCTTTGCGTTTCTTCAAGAGTTATCGTTCATTTTAGAAGCTATGGGTTAGTGCTTAGATGCTCCATCCTGCTTGTAGATTTGAACTGGTCAGTTATATTTTTGGCTTCTTCCGCAGGGCTCTGGTGAGCAGTCCCAAGAACTTTACACGTTCCACGAAGCAGTTTCCCAGTTGCAGGATGCTGAAGATAAACTAGTTGATGATCACAGGAAGAACATTGAGGTAAAGCAGTTAATTCAGGAGCCTTTTGAATCTCAAGTACTTGCGTTGTCAACCACAGAAGTGGCTGAGCAGAGTTAAGCGTCTCTTTTTAATGGTTTGATAAAATGTTTGATTTGCCACCATTTAAATAAACGCTGAAAAAAAAAAGGTCCAATTTTTTTCTCAGTGGTTAAAACTTGTTAGATGTGCACTGGAAACTCTGCTTTTACTTCAAAGAACGCGACCCATCTTAAATTCAACAGAAATTCTTGATTGTATTTTTTGTACAATACTAAAAGACATGTGAAAGCACTGTTGAAGAGGTTTTATTTGTCGCAAGAAAGGATTCTGTTCCAAGTTTAATTGCTAATCGCCTTCGTCTCTGTTCATATCTTTGATGCAGGAAGCTGAGACATTATTACAGGAAGAAAGAAAACTGATGGAGAGAGTAGACACAGATGTGGATTACAATATGGAAGGTATTAAGTGACCTTAACCCTTTAAGCCCTAAGAGTGATCAGCGTCAAATTTCTCCTTATAATATCAATTCTTTATAAAACAGAGTGGTCATGAGAATTAAGGACATGATCACACAAGATGAATCTAATTGATACTTCAACAAACTCTCCCTACTACTTCTATTGAAAACGTATAGGGATAACAAATGAGAATTTGAATTTTGATATTAGGGTTTAAAGGGTTAACAACGGTCTTGGAGTGCTTACCATTTATACAAGCCACCCGGGTAGAAATCTTGTGCGTAAAAATAAAACTACAAAATTTGATGTTATGGGAGAACGACCCGGTACAAGGTATTTGGAAATCAGCTCAACAAACTGAAATGTGTAGAAAAATTTCTTCCCCTCAAATCGCAGCTAATTTTTTTGAAGCTTCCTATTCGGAATTGCGCGAACCATTTGATTTTCCATCCTTAATTTTCGGTTTTGCATGTAAATACTCGTGATTTGTATGTTGTTTGTCTGTCTTTTGTGTTGTTCGTTCATCATATACTTTCAGTGTTGCTATTATTACTATTATTTTTATTATTTTTTTTAATCGGTGATCTGTGTGCAATTTTACAGAATATGTACGACGATTAGACGAAATACTGGCGCAAAAGATCGAGAAATTCACCCAGCTTCGAGGTAAGACTGCATTGCTAACCTTTTTCAGTGCCTCCTTGTTAGCTTGTTGTTGCGTAAAACACGGAGCTTTATGCTCTCTCGATCTCAAGGGGCAATTCTTTCACCTGTGAACGAATCCGTATTTCCGGTCGTCGCTTCTCTCCACCCGGGTGAGGTGTGCTCGTAGGCTAGGAATTACTTTGATTGGTGAAAAGAAAGTCGGGCACAAAAAGGAAAACTAGACTTACTGAGACTTGGCCATTCTTGTCGCCAGGACCCCTCTCTCTTCAGTTACACAGCCTTATCGACTTAGGGGACACTGGGAACGAAATTGGACTTAAGCTTACGTTTTCTGATTGGTTCGTGCCTTGCATCTGTTGTGTTTCGGTTTTTTGTTTTGTTAGAGTCATAACTTTGCTTTCGTTTTATTGTCATTTGTTTTATCGTTGGCTAAGCTGTCTTTTCCTTTATTTCCTTTCACATTTTTACTTGCCTTTTTACTTTGTAGACAAAGTAAACAAGTTCAAGAAACAATTGGAAGAAGAAGAAATGGCGAGCCGAAATATAAGAAAATTACCAGGTTATTAGCGCTCGCTCGACAATCTACGGCTGAAGTGTTTCCTGATGGGCAATCTAAGACCGTGAACCTGTTGCTTAATGATCTGCAGAAGGAAATATTCGTTAAGATATCAACGCATCATGCCATGAAGGGATCGATTTGGACTTTCGCTCAGTCGGTGAACATACATTTAGAGGAACCGCAATATTTAAGTTGAATATCAGCTGCAAAGCACAGTTGTTTTGGAAAAATCTTATGAACAATTTGGTCTTGTTTGTGGCTGTATATTTATTATGTCGATTAGAGTAGGCGCATGTCACGTTGTGTGTAAGAACAAAGAGGTGAATGGTATGAAAGCTGTAAATTGTGAGTGGTTTATTATATGTTGATAATGTTTTTGCTTTAGAGCCTTGTAAGACAAAATAAGCTAAAAATAGCCCTTGCATTACGTTTGTACAACTCAGAGTTTTCCTTATTGTTCGTATAGTAAGAAATATTGACAAGGCGTACAGGTTGGAATTCCTTCATTACCTTTCTACACAGAATTGCCGGAAAGGTTTCATTGTTGTTTTCCTACAGTGAGAATTATTCCCAAGTCTTAGAATTCTGTTTACTCCTGAGTGTTGCGATGATCAGCAACAAAAGTGTCCGAGTTATTGAAGTGTTTATGATAGTCAGTGGGGAAGGTCAAAAATTAAAGACATTGACTCATTCAAAAACGGTTTTTAATTTTTGAATCAAGCATGTCTTGCGAACCTCAAGAGTTAGCCATAAGTAATGCCTCTAAGAGAGCTATTTAATTCTAGCTTTTATTCTTCCGTTATTTGGAATAGCCTGGAACAAGGTTTTCTCTTGCAGTAGAAATCTATACTTGAAGCCAGTGTTTGGTTGTCTTCTTAGCGTACCTCAAAAATGCCATGGGGTACCTACAAAAACCTTGAAACACTTTGGAGAATTCTGCTCCGTTTCGTTTCCCCCTCCCTTTTGCAATGTTGTTGTAGCCACGTAACTTTGCAATCACATCTGAACATTGGAGAGGGAATGGGACGTGCATAGGTGTTTCAGGGACTTTGGGCGAGGATTGCAGATATCTGGCTCCGGTTGTTCAAACGTTGGATAGCGCTATCCACCGAATAAATCGCAATTAAGTGGATACGTTTAGGGAAATCAATTGCGTTGTCCACTGGATAGCGATATAGCGTTATCCACGTTTCGAACTATTGGTCCCTGTTTTGGTACACTGTGAACAGATGTCTTGGGCGCTGACTTGACGTTCGAACCCAACTTACAAAGGTTTACAAAAACGTGAAGACTCCTTAATAGAAACTCTTTCCAACTGGAAAATAGCCTTCGTAGCAGGCGTTCGAAAAGGAAAGTGAAGTAAAAGGAGAACGCGTTTCATTCGCACTCCCTCGAGAGCCCTTCGCGCATCTCGCGCGTCCAAAAGCTCCTTCCCCTTTTTATTTCGAATGCCTTCCACGGAGACTTACTGGAAAATACCCACTGATACTTATAAAGGTAATCGACCGAATCCTTGTTGCTCTTAAGTTGTGTGAAAAAGAATAAACAAAAACAGTGTCATTTCAACTCTGGCTTTTTCACACAATCGGGTGAGTTTACTCGTATGTTTAGATAGCACGCGCGACGCCGATATGTCCCATTTTTTCGCGCATACTCTAAAGGTGCGCCCAGGAGGAGCTTCTGCGATCCAGGTTCGTCCCTCTGCCGGCCGTACGTTCAAAGTCCACTTTTTCCACTAGTCGCGCTTTACTTCCCCTATCCCTTGCACGTGCTATATACTAAACTGCTCCGCGTGAACGTGATCGAAGCTTCGTCGCTAGCCCTGAAAGCAACAGCAACTGCAAAAACTCCACTTTTTCGGAAAAAAAAAACAGCGTTCGCCGGTCGTTCTAGAACTTTCGCGTGTCATTTTGTCTTTTAAACATAAGTGGAACTGTTATACTCAGTATCCTCTTTGTTCTCGCCGACACTGTGACAAATCATTTGGGATTCATCCCTTCCATTCATTTTACTTTCGTTCATCTTAATTTCATTTTCTTTCTTCTCTTGGCTATTTTCATTGCCCTGTAAGTTTCTGTTTGTATCCTTCATTTCTCGGTCTCCAGTGAAGCAAGAACAAACTCTTCGGCAAGGTCGTCTTTTTGAAATATAGAACGCTATGGCGTTCAAAACACTGGAAAACACGCACAGTCCAAGTGTACACCAAGCAAGAAAAAACACAACGCCCCAGAAAACTTGTTTTTTACCTGTTATATAATCACCGTAACCTATGGTAGTGAAAGTTATTAACCAGTAATAAACTGCGACAAGAAAGCTCCATTCCTCCAAATAAACTTGCATGACAGAGCCACAGAGTAGCATGATTAACATTAATGCAAAGGTCACAGCAGTACACTTGGCCTCCACGTTGGTTGGGTCTTGTCTGAAACATCGCTTTTCAATCTTTGTGATAGCAACAGTTATTCCTCGGCTAATAAGCTCACCAACTGCCTGGAAAGCCAAGATGGTAACAGGGATACCAATAATTGCAAAGACAATGCACAGGGCTTGGCCAGTTTTGGTGGAGGGTGAAATAGCACCATATCCTAAGAGAGAGAATCAATGTCTTTGATAAAGACCTAGCGCGTCACGGGGTGCAATTAAGTATAAAACGAACTGCAGTTGTAACTACCGACATTCTGGATTGTTCTCGCCCCATCCCTTCTCAACAAAAACCGACATGTCAAAACTCCAGTTTGTCACTTTTAGTCAAGCCAGGTCAAGCGTACCCCCAAGATGCCATTAATGAATTTATTATTCGAAAGTTGAATCCTTTGGTACTTGTAGATTTCAGGTTCATCTCTGCATTGCATGCGTAATGAGCCGTGAATTCACACGCGAGGCAGTTAGCAAGGGGAACAAGGGGAACAAGGGAAACAAGGGGAACAGGAGAACAGGGGGAAAGAGGGGAACAGAGGAACAAGAGGAACAAGGGGAACAAGGAGAACAAGGAAAACAAGGGGAACAGGGGGAACAAGGGAAACAGGGAAACAAGAGGAACAGGGAAACAAGGGCAACAAGAGGAACAAGGAATACAGGGGAACAAGGGGAACAGGGGAACAAGAGGAACAAGGGAAACAGGGGAAAGGGGCAACAGAGGAACAAGGGGAACAGGGGAACAGGGGGAACAAGAGGAACAAGGGAAACAGGGGGAAAGGGCAACAGAGGAACAAGGAAAACAGGGGAACAAGAGGAACAAGGGAAACAGGGGAAAGGGGCAACAAGGGGAACAGGGGAACAGGGGGAACAAGAGGAACAAGGGAAACAGGGGGAAAGGGCAACAGAGGAACAAGGGGAACAGGGGAAACAAGAGGAACAAGGGAAACAGGGGAAAGGGGCAACAGAGGAACAAGGGGAACAGGGGAACAGGGGAACAGGGGAACAGGGGGAACAAGAGGAACAAGGGAAACAGGGGGAAAGGGCAACAGAGGAACAAGGGGAACAGGGGAAACACGAGGAACAAGGGAAACAGGGGAAAGGGGCAACAGAGGAACAAGGGGAACAGGGGAACAAAGGGAACAGGGGAACAAGGGGAACAGGGGAAACAAGGGGAACAGGGAAACAAGGGGAACAGGGAAACAAGAGGAACAAGGGGAATGAGGGAACAATGGAACAAGGGAACAGGAGAACTTGGGGAACAAGGGAACAGGGGAGCTTAAACGTGAAGTTGAGCGAGGTTCAACTTGTACTTTTACCTGTGACCTTTCATAAATTGCCTCACTTTTTTTGCGAACGTCAATCTTACGCACTAACGCACGTAAAAATTAAGCGACATTGGAAATCTACCCTAGGTATTGTCAGGCTACGTTTTAAAAAACGGTTGCGTTGGAGATCTCAGTACGTTGCTATGAACCTTTTACAATGCTCACATTATACCACTTACCAATAGTTGTTAGTGTTTCAAAGGCAAACTTGAGACCGTCAACGAAATCCCAGGTAGGCCCACTGCTGAGTGCCTCGCAAGATAACTTCGTGAAGTTATCAAAGTCCGATGGAGTCATATTATACTTATTTTCCATCGCTCTTTTTAGATCGTCAAGGAGCTCTCGTTTTCTTTTTGATTCATTATCGGCGTTGGGACGCTCCACGGCGGAAAATATTAGAGCTCCTGTAACAGCGGCAAATATAAACGCAATTACCCATGATAAAGTCTTTTTTTGCAAAGAATTCATGTCCGACAACCAGTGTCAATGCAAGGAAGATGCCTAAAAAAGGAAAGAAGATATAAGCATGTTTTGAACCTACAGTTATATCAACCATTAATTACGTACCCATAGTGACTTCGGTCCCTTTGTGCCGCTCGAGCTTTTCAATTTGACAGTATACAACACCCCCAAGTTGATTGGACTTAGTAAGAAATATCGCCTTCGTTAGCTCCCATCAATGTTGGCCATAAAACGCAAGCTGGAACAACAACAAAATGAGGTGCAGACCCCGGGGTGCAAACTCCACGTTGTAAACTTGATGTACACTAGCACAAGCGGCCGCAACCCCGAGAGCCTTTTGTTACAAAAATTGCGTTCATGTTTCGATTTCTTTCGAGAAACGCCGGGGAAGTATAGTGTATTTACAGGGGCACCCAACGAGAATATAGTTCAAAACCACTTAAGCATAGCATTGTTAAACTTATTTTAGTATTTAAACAGTAGATATAGGCATATTTTTATCCCCTAAAAATTTTTCATCTGTTCGGATTTCCTAGCTGAAATTCTAGTGATCCGAAAATTATAGGGATCAAAACTTACCTTTTCGAAAATTTCAGCCAGAAAAAAGGCTACCGAAAATTCCAGGTGACGTTTTAACGGTAAAACTCCGTTAAAAATGGGCAATTAAAGTAGTTCGAAAATCTTAGGAGAGGCAGGCAAGCAAGAAATTTTACAACAACTGTTCCGAAAATTCTAGATGTCAAATCGTCTTCCGAACAGATATTTTCCGAAAATTGTCGTTGGGTGCCCCTGTATTTATCTTTATCATGATCGAAAAGTGCAAACTACGATAGTACACACTCTAGCTGCCTCGTTATGGCTCTTGCGTTCTCCCAACGGTTCTACTGTGAGTTAATCGATAGCTTTCCGAAGTGCAAATATCGAGTTTGTAAAACCGAGGAGATGAAAAATTCTTTATTTAGTTACCGATATGGTAAATATTGATGCAGAAACATCGTGTTGTCTGTACTTCCTCGTAAAATTTCATCTCAAGTAGATTCAACAAATTTTTTGCTCCAAATCAGGAAGGTTTTTATTTTATTTTATTTTATTTTATTTGAGAAGCGGAATTAAAAGAGGAAAACAAAAATGGTTCGAGCAAAAGCTCAAGAAAAAACAACACTTATACTTCACTGTCTGCTCTCGTTACAGATGTTTTTATTAATTGCGAATTCTTCACCATCAGGTGCACTATTTTTTACAATTACAAATACTTAGCATGTAAAGAAAAAAAATAACTCACCTTAATCGTTTCGAATCGTTCCGTTTTACTGACGTGTCTCTCTCATTTCAGCTTATTTTAGCCTTTGGGGTGGTTTCGGTTCTGTGCGAAAGAACCTTTATGAGGTACTTCTGAAGACTAGATAATTGAATAATCAACATATATAATTGCGAAGACCTTGTTCGTGAGCAATTAACATCTTGTTTCTATATTTTTGACATAATTCGTATTGAAATTTACTTCAGCTGCTACAAGCTCAACAGAATTGTCGACAGGTGTTCCATTATGCTTTTGTTTTATTTTGATAAACAAGCGACAACTTGGCACTCGAGCTGCAAGTTTTATTTTTATCTTTTTAATTAGGGCCTGTTTACATGAAAGTGGGGGTTCCCAGGTACGTAAAGTAACCCGCTTTGGTGGGGTAACCCGCGTTTTTATGTAATCATATCTCTCATATGTTCAGCCCACCTATCATGTAAACGTGATCAAATTAAAGTGAGAGATAATATGGACAGGCGGGTTACTCCACTTAAGTGGGTTAACTCACCCTCCTGGGCACCCCAACCCCCATGGGGTGAACAGGCCCTTAAACTGAATGCACTAAACGCGTTTGTCATCATGCTTGTTTGCAATGCGATCAGATGGTCCGAGTTCTTAGCGTTTTGTTTTAAGAACGCTTGATCGCAAGTTATGGCACGCCACTGCAAAAAAGGTGTCAGTGCTTGATCACTAATGACCGGTTTATCAAGGCAATGAACTCACCTTTTTTAGATTGGAAAAACCACAATCTATCTCATTCTAATATAATTGTGTTTCAATTAAGCAGCCTTCATACCTTGTTTCTTTTGCGTTTCTATTGGTCAAGTAGTGTGTTAGGCATGTTCATGGGATATGGGATATGGAATTGCCTTTATCTATCTATTCTCGGAGTTCGTTTGGTCAGCGGTTCACGAAACATGGCATCAACGATTGCATGTATGCAGAACATGCGACCGGGCCTTCAACGTTTTTTTTTTTTTTAGTGAACGCTTTCATTTTAATAAGTTTGCTGTTAGAGTAATAGAGCTGGATATACCTCGACTACAATAGGAAACATGCGCCGTTTTACACATTTAACCCCTCCCCCTCCTGCAGACATATACCATGTCTGCAGGAGAACTAAATAGGTCTTCCAGCGCTGACGTCGATGACTTCATTGATAAAATTGATTCTTATGCCTTAGAGACTGACGAGAACTTATGCCGCGACAACCAAGCTCACTTAATTCAATTTAATTATTTCTTGTTTCCAGCTGTATTTCACAATAGGAAGGGTTTATGGGCGATCGTTCGAGATTGTTTGTTAAGCCCCCTCTTCTGGTCGGGGACTTAGAAGAGTAGTTTATCAGACACAGAGCGAGTTTTTTTTCTTTTCTTTTTCTCTTTTTTATTTTCTTTTTAGATTTTTTTATTTTATGTAAGGCTAGTCCTGCGGTCAGTTAGGCACAATTAATGATCTGTATTTGCGGAGAATTTTTGCTTAAAGATTTTTTCGAAATTTATTGCTATTGGAAAGTAAAAGTACGCAGCAAAGATCGATCCAATTTTTCATCGATATAATTATTTGCCGAGACATTGTATGCCTACCTTAAATTCCTTATGCATATAATCATTTTTAGTTTCCTAACAACGGCCATCTGCCGTTTGATTTGCTAAATGTGTTAGGCTCAGTTATCTGTACGTTGTATACAAGGAGTAATCAGTTGTCTCGTGCTGTTATATTGTTTCCAAACTGGCGTTATCAAACCACGATTATTTATTTGGCTGAATAACAGTTGAATTCGCTATCTCGCATAATTACAAAGTATTCGATTTTCAGTTTGCTTTATGAATATAAATGTATAATTGAAAGGAAGAGTAGTGCTTTTTTTTCAGGTTAGGCGCAAAACTACAAAACATATCTACAGGACCAACAATAATTCTCTGAGAGTGCATGAGCTTACATCTAGGAATGGATAAAAAATTAAAAAAAATGTTTCAAAAGCCGAGATAGGGCTAACTTGTTTTCATCCGGACCTTTAATTTACATTTAAGTTACTCCTTAAAGAATTCACTTAACTATTATTCAGGGCCTGGATCATTTTTTGTACTTGTATTTCCTACTGGCTACTTCGCGCTATTTTATTGATTTATTTTTTCCAGTTGTAAAAAGAAAATAAGTAAATTAAACCGGGAATGAGATGATGTTGAGTCTCTCTTTAGTGAATTTAATCACATGAGCTCAATAGCCGCAAAGTTGACTGTGTAGAATTAATGCACAACTCACCTTTGTTTCATACAAAGAAAAAGAAATCACGATCGCTTGTTGACACAGTTGCAGTCTGTTGATGTTTTGTAAAACTGTACTTCTTCCTCGTTGAATCCGTCGTCGTTTGATTTTCGGTTGAATTGTCACGTTGTCAACAAAGCTCTTGACACAGCTTTTCTCGCTCTATGAAGTAAAAGCTGCAGAAAGCCTGGGTATAACAGCTCTCACATCAAAGAGACCGGCAACTGTTCTGGGCTGAATTTAACAATACCTTTACAAAAGTGTAATTTACACGCGCAGCTATTGTTTTGGAGTCTGTAAACAATACCCTCTTGTGAACAAAATTTTATTAAACTGGGCCCTGAACTCTTTTATGATGTGATGAGAAAAGAAAAGCTTGGTAGGGGTGTGTATCATCTGCTGTAAATTAGGGTTGTTGTTGTTGTTGTTTAATGTTGTTTGAGTCGCTTCGGACTCTTACCCCGCTTAGTTCCTTTATTTTGAGGTAAGGGAGGATTTTTGTTGGTAAATACAACATTTTACCAAACTTGAAAGAATTTGCGACAAGTACATTAGAGCCACCCTTTTAAAAAAATTCAAAAGTAAGTAGCTCTGAACTACAAAACAAAACAAGAAGAAGAAGAAGGGTGAATCCGGAATTCTGGGCCTTGGTACTGAATTCAGCTGAAGGATGGAATCCAGAATCCGAGTTCCACGGACAAAAAATCCACAATCCAGACCTAGATTCACGATTGGTAACAACGATTTTTAGAGCAATACAGCTTTGCAACATCGGTTGCGACATAATAGGGTCATTTACACTAGGAAAAATAAGACGCGTCTTAAATAAGACGCGAACTTTCCGTATAAACGGCACATTTCGTCTAAAATAAGACGCGGCTTAGCTAAGACGCGTCTTATTAGATAAGACATGCTCGTATAAATGGTACAGTTCGCGTCTTATGTAAGACGCGTCTTATTTTTCCTCGTATAAATGGCCCTACTGTTGCAGCATTGCAACGCTGTGTTGCGCTAAAAATCGTCGTTGTGAATCGTGCCGTGTAACATCACCTTTATGGGCCGACAACAAATGTAAGTAANTGTGGGGGGGGGGTCCGGAAAAAAAGTGTCTTTTAGACCCTGGTAAGGTTTGGTTTCAAAAACCCGGCGTTTTTTTTTTGGTTTTTTTTTTTTTTTAATTTTGTTTTTTTTTTTTTTTTTTGTTGGGCCTTTTAAATAAGAAACTCTTTTCTTCCCCCCCCAAAAAAACCCCCCCCCCCCCCCCCCACAACAAATGGTAATCGCGGCGGAAGACTTATTTAAAGAATTTATCAGAAATGTTAATTAGCCTTTCAAAGCCCAAATGTGGTAAACAACACTTGTTCTCGCTACATTGACACGTGCAGCAAAAAACATCCAATCAGGAATAATGATTATTCTAATCAAGAAGTTGCTCCGC